ATGTACATATGTATAAAAGGTACAGTTAAATGACCATAACATAAGTTCTCGATGACTTAAAGTAAGGCAGAGCAACAAGAAAATCACCCACAAGGGCCTGACAAAGAAGACGAAGAGTATAACAATTCAGTCTGAAATGTTTAGAGATCCGTCTATCATAGAGTCTTCCACTTTATTTGTCAGATGCAATCAAAAAATGAAAGCTTGACGTCCACCTCTGCAAGGGTTAAACACCAAGCATGCAGTTCTGAGGTATTGTGGCATGCCTTAAAGTAAATGGGTCATAGTCTATTTGAAAAAAAACGTTAGATAATTTTAGTAAAGAAAACAGAAAAAACTATGACCGATGTTATTAGGATATAGTTTAGTAACCATTTGATCAAAATAAAGGTTATTTATGTTAAGGATATCATCTAGGTATATCATCTAAGTGTTATTAAATGCATGTATAACTTCCTTTTGTAAAGATTTAACATAAAATCCCCCTGGTAGCGATATAAATCAGGGGTGCACAATTATTTTCCACTGGAATGTATATTATCTGTTTGAAAACAGTATTACCAAACCTTACACAAATGTAATCTAATAAATACAAACCTCGTCACAGGCCCACATTGTTAAAGAAAGCCTACCTTGAATTAAATCAAGAAAAACAACATTTTTTTTTCATTTGCAAATGCCTTTTGAATTAAAAATGACAATGTATCATTGATGATAAGTGTGTGGCAATGTATAATATATTTGGTAGAGAAATCTTAGTACTTACAGATAAAGCTTGACAATTCTTAACCTTAAATGTATCTAAGTTTTCACTGAAGTTTCAAATAGACCAGAAAAGATATTAAACTAAACTGTTCACAATCTCTAATGACATGTGCTTTAGTGGCAGTAAGACAAAAACTCAATAAAATAGAAAGATTAATGGAAGTACAAGAAGTTGCATTAGCAATAAGGCGAGCTTTATATGGGCATTATTTTGGAATCCAGTACATTATAGGAAGGTTGAGCTCTTTCTCATCAATACGAACTTCAAAGATAGAAATACTAGAAATATGACTGGCAACCATCTCTTTTTTCTTTCAGAAGTGAAGAGTTTAAAATGAAGTATTAGTACTGTTAACTTCATTTTGTAAATTATGGATAAGCCATACGATGATATTGTTATTTGCCTCCTTATCAGCCGAACTAAGACAAATTTGCTGTGGAACGTGAAATATATCTTTTATAATATGCCACAAAATATATCAAGGTTTAGAACTCCTCGTACATTTAACCAATGATGTTATATTTTCGATCCTTGAAGATCGTTCAGCACGACATTATTGTTGTGTATATTTGTAATGTGGTACTTTTAGTTACTTCTCTTCGGCCTTTTTCTATTTGGGTGGTTCCAGTATTACTACTTGAATTCTGTATAATCACCCTAAGGATAATTATGTTGCCTGCTTTTTAAATTTGTCTTTTGACGTCTTATCTGTGACATGCAGGCTTCATAACCTCATATTAATACGAGTAAAACTACTTTAATGAAAACAAATTTATCATTCATATCAATATCAATTCATGATGTTTGAAGACGTAAGGATTTCAGCTTAATTCAAGATACCACAGCATTCATCTTGTATTTTTTATATTTATCATAAAGAAATGCTCAGTTAAAAATGTTTAGTTTCGTTTGCATACGGTGAGTCAGATATAAATATGTGGTTGTATATATGTTGTAGCTACAGTTAACATACACTTATATACCCAAAAAAGTAAAATATTTTATAAAAATGCAGTATTGTTCACCATCGTGTATCTTAAATTCTAAATAAAGCAATATAAATATAGAATGTACATGTTTCAACTAGAAATTTTAGGATATTAATTAAGGATAAGTCCAGTTCTTAATTTATTGAGCAATTTTTATAAAATGATATTGTCCAAAATTTATTCCAGAGTATATTCGTTATCGTATTGAACCAACCTTTCAGTTTTCAAAATGCAAAACAGCAAAATGTTTATAGTAACTGTATCATATTCGTCGTAAAAGCTCAATAGTTGAAATTTCAAACCAAAATTATGAATGTCAAACTTATCTTTCTTCCACTTTAAACTATAAATCTGGCTTAAGAAACATGTGTCAAATCGGTTACTAATAATCACATAGGTGTCAGCAACAAATGTCAAATTCTGTTATTGCTAAAATCATGTGCGTGCGCAGTAATGAAATAAACTGTTGACTGGTTGTTTGTGAGACGCACTCTGAGGTTTATGAAATAAGTTCATAGATCAAAAAGTTAATACAGATAATCTTCATATTCAAATATCTCCTATAGATGGTTATGAAGATCTAACATTGTGGTATTTGACTTACTACTATGCCAAGCTTGTAAGAAACAATCAATTAACTGTTGCTAAAAGGACTATTAAATTTTGTTTGAGTGAGTATTTAACAAAAATGCATGATTCTATGCTGTTCGCGCAAAGTTTGTAATATAAGAACCCCAGTTCTCTGTGCGACATCTAAACAATCATTATTATGGTATGAGATAGATATGTTTCAATTTTAGAATAATTTTACCAAAGTGAAAAAATGTTATTTTACTCAAAAGTAAAAGGCCCGAAACAGATATTTTGGGGTTAAAAGCAAGCAAGCTGGAAAAGTCCCGTCAAATAAGCAGTGGCATTTATTGGATGGGAAAACTGAAATTGGGCGGGGTTTTGTTTTCCTTTTTTGAAACAGCATAGTCTTTGTTTTCGTCAGGAGTTGGGGGGTTTATTTTGCAACGTTTTTCTGGAGCAAATAATTAGGTTTCGGGGGTTGAGTACCCCAAGCCCGTGCTAGGGGGCGTGAGGATGTTGCATTTTTTATTTTTCCCCCCTGTAAGATTCAATGAAAGAGCTGTAAATTTTTTTGTTTCTTTGTTGTTTTTTATGCTTTTAGGGATCCCCTTTGTTTTCAGATTTTTATAATTCCAAAAGGAGGTGTCAAGTGCCCCTTCCCCGGGGTACTTACTTCAGTGTTGCTAATTTTTTTTTGTCCTTCAGATATTGATCCAGCACCCTTTTTAAATGTTAGGATTATACCTCGGCCCCGGGGCTAGGGGCAGAGGGGTGTTCTCTTATTCTTATCTCTCATGTACAGATTCAATTAAACCGAGTCCGCCATTTTAATTTATTTATTTTTTTGTGATTAATACTTCTGAGGGATAACTTTGTTTCCAGATTTTTATATAAAAGGTTTTGCAGACAGCGATGTTATCGATTCTTGGTTAGAATCCGGGAGCATTTTGAGTTCCACCTGGTAACTTGGGCTGTATTTATGGAATTTTTTTTCAAAATCATTTCTTTAATGGAAAAAAATTCAGAAAAGATAAATTTAAAAAAAAAAATTGAGTCTGTTCAAAAAGGGTAAGTACAAATACAATTAAAAAGATTGTGTTAAAAGGAAAGCAATAACAAAAATAATTCTTACTTTTTCGTTTGGTTGCCAAAAAAAATAAAGTTAAAACTGATTTCCTGAGCAGATGTACGGGACAATGACGATTGGTCAGTTGTTGACTGTTTTTTTCAAAGTATTAGATGACAAATGGGGAAAGCATACCTTTGGTCGTTTTACGTGTCATTACAACAACACTTAATACAAATGCTTCAATTCAAGATATTGGTATCCGGGTACAGCAGGTATAGATTCTTTTGAGCAACTTTTGGTCGGTGTAAACAACCGCCAAGATTAATAGTAAGGTGTGTTTATAAGATTAATAGCGACAAGTGCACTTTAAGTGGTGCCATGTTGGCATTCGGCACTATTAAAATCAGTTCATCTTTATAGGAGACAAAAAAAATATCTTGAAAAAGTCAAGCCTTTCCCCGGCGTTTGGGCCAAATGTTGGGGACCCATCAACGGGAAACTCTGACATGCCATAGAAATCAGTAGAAATTGCTGAACTGAACCAAAACTTATACCAATTCACAGCAAAGCTTCACAGGGGCCCCCCCCCATGTAGCAAAACAGATGTGCATAGCTCCGGAACAATCATCAGTTGGTGGCCGCCCAGGCAGATCATCATCTCCAATGCTCTCCCCCCCCCCTCTTAAATTCACCAGCCCATTTTTTACAGTGCTATAGCAAGGCGACTCCTTCCTTAGTGTATTCATGAAGTCTGCGTGGATTTCCTTTGGGGAAATCACTTTCTTACAGAGGTACTTAATGACGGCTCTAATTTCAACTTTCTCCAATTTGGTCTAAATTATGTTTCAAAGTATGTTTTATGTTACTTAATCTGTTTTAAACCGCGTGTAACTTGCATATGGTGTTGTGTTTTAATTTTAGTTTAGCAATACCTTAATTTACTAGCTATTCTAGTTTTTAGTATTTTATCTGTAAGTGTGAAATATTTAGTTTGAAATAACCTTTAGAAACAATTAAATTTTGTTAGTTTGTTTTAATAAGTGTTTATTTATATCATTTAAATGTGTTGTCTAACGTAAAGTTTAAACAGTTTCTTTTATGTATCATATTTGTAATACGTGAAATATGTGAATGTTTATTAATTTGACATTATTTCTTTCACTTTTATTTGTTACATTTGTAATATTTATTCTATAATTACGTTTCAGGTAATAATGTGGCTAATGTTTCCTTGTAATAAATAAACTGACGGTTAGATACAGTTTTTTCTACCTTATTGTCTCAATTTCAACCTAATCTTGACCAGGAAAATTAACGAAATGGAAATTTACCTTCATGTAAATATTATTCACACTTCAAACAGTTTATGTTCTGAAACGTTCTTAATATCATTGTAAATATTTAAAAGCAAAATTAAAAGTGTATCTAATATGTCACGACAGGATAACTTGTTAAAGTGGGGAAGTTAATATTTGATTGAAACCAGATTAAAATAACATCTGGCTTGAAATCATGATAATGGATTTAATTTTTTGAAAGTAATAAACAGTAGAAAATTCTTTTGTTCTTAAGCCTATAAGGAATTTAAGTCAACAAAGCAAAACAAATAAATATGTTTTTTATTGTTTACACACGTTCCAAATTTAATTTCCTTACAGAATTTAAGTGCAATAGAGAAAGTACTCTGCCTAGAACCTTATAGAAGTACAAAAATAATGTTTGTTATAACTTTATTTAAAGTAATTCTACTTTATCTGACTATTTTCACAAGTAAGTTCTCTATTTGTATTTTATGTGTTGTAATCAGTAATAAGTGGATAAGGAAACGAAATTTTCATTAAATTGTTATATTTAAAAACAAGACGTGTGTATGGAATAACTCAAAAATTTTATGTTTGTAAGAATAAATCTAATAATAATTTAAAAAAAGAAAACATGTAGAAATAATAAATAATTATCAGCAAATGCATATAATAATTGTACTGTTGGAAATATTTATCATATTAAACCGAATATATATATGGTTATGTACAGAAAATGGTGTGGAGTGTCAGCAAGTACAATTAGAACTATCAGCAAAGCAGGTCACTGAAAACGAAAGCCTTACTTTAACCTGCTCATATACTGGTACCCAAGCTGTTTTAGAATCGACGTGGATGTACTCAAAAGAACTTACTAAAACATCAACATTGATGAACATAAATGAAACATGTGATGCTGTAGGATTTCTGAATGATTCCAGTTTATATGGATGGGAATGTTCTACATATAATGTATATGTTTTGACATTGAAGAGAGTCGCGCGTGATATGCATGGTTTGTATTGGACATGTCGCCAGGATGGGACAGAAAGTGACAGACAGTACATTCATGTGAATGGTAATGTATTAAGTGGTAGATTTCCAACTTACATTTGAAGCACAAGCACAGAACGTGTTGCATAAAAAACTTGTTTTATTACATCAGCAATTTAAAATTACGTTACGTACTTATGCAATTTTAATTCACTTTATAGCTTAATGATATAGAATTAAAGCTTAACTTAAATAATGAAAAATATTATCCCATCAAACCTGTGTGTGATAGATATGCTTTTTTGTTTGTTTTCATCATATATTTTTTCTGTTTGCTTTTTCGTTGTTGTTTTGTTGTTGCTTGTGATATTTTTGTTGTTGTTTTCTTTGTATAGAAGACTTTCAATCAAATTCCCATTGTGAATTGCTATCTTTTGTAAGTTCCGGTTGAGATGGTGGAAATGTATAGCCCGACGGGGACAATGATATCAGTTCCGGAAGCCGTTACCACAACGTTTCTATGTAAAACTTCATTTGCTCTACCGACGCCGCAAATTGCCTGGTTTGCCGATAAAGGTCAACATGGAGGAAATGACGATATGCCATTGCTTGATTCTTTATTTGTTTCAACAAGATTGAGTAGAGAAGGATTTATATCTACAACTAGCAGGCTTACACTCAACATGTCCGCACAGATGTGTGGCTGGAAAATATACTGTGTGGCTAATAACTCCATAGGATACATACATAAATCAAAAGAAGTTTCTATCATTATTAATGGTAAGTGTTTAAAATGTACTTGTATTACTCTTAATTCATATCCAATGAATTAAAATACGTGTTGTCTGATAATCATATAGCCGGAACAGGGAGTAAATATAGGCAACATCAAGTAGCAGTTCAAATGCTTCATTTAATGTAGTGATGAATTAAATTTGACAGTCAAATCAAACATACTAATCCAACTCCTTTGTTAGAGAAGTGATATCTCAGAAACTGTCTCTAAAAGACAAAAAAGGACTTGATAGAATATTACAAATCATTACATAAAGTAATCAAATACGCAATTTAGTCTTGCGTCATGCATTAAAGAATGTCTAAATATGAATCAAACCTTAACTCAAAATGCTGATTATGACATCATTTGCATATAACTAAATTACCATTTAAAAAAATATATATACGTGTATATTACCAGTGTGTGGCACTGTCCACTACAACATCACTTACACATATCTTCACAATCTCTCCAACAAGAAACATTCTGTGACTGTCAGTAGAAACTGTAAATATAGGGATTATATAAAACTATATGTCAAAATATTGAAGATATAAAGTGATTTGTTAAGATAACGTTACAGAAAATAGTCCCATACCGCCATGATGATAGTTATATGTATAAATTAACACACATTACCAAAAATGAATGCTAAGAACCTTTGACTAGAAACAAACCTTATTACAAATATTTTATCAATAAACAAATATAATAAACAGGATAAGAAATATGATATTTTATCTGCACACTACAAAAAACCCTCCAAAAATTGTAAACGAACACAATAAGGCGGAACGTTGCCTCAACAAATGGAAAACAAGAATTAAAATAGAAACATTTAAGAATGAGGTAGATAAAAATACTAAAATGTTAACTTTACATGGCACAAAGTAAACCATCAAACCTTCGACCTGTCACATATTTAATATCAAAAATTTAAAATGAATATTTACTTGTGCATTTAAATTCAACATCTACCTTTTTTAGAAAATGACGAACCATCTATCCAACCACCAGTTATCTCGAACTTTGAAAATGGAAGCACTTACTACGTCAAGGAAAATGCAACAATATCTTTATCTTGTAACGTCACTGGAACATTTCCACTTCCGGATTTGACATGTTTGAAGTGGACATGTGATAATCATACCTTGCAAACATGTGTCTCTTACTGTACCAAGACACTGACTGTCACATGGACGGTCTCTGTGAAACAATCTGAAACGTGTGCCTGTCAGTCATCTTATCCAGAATTTGGCGACATAACAACATATATACATATAAAAGCACTAAGTAAGTAGAATAACGGAATTATCTTGTAAGCTTTAAATTTAAGAATAAATATATGAGGTGATTATACATCGTTTGTGTACAATACTAAATTATATTGAACGAGTACATAAGTGGAAACAAGACGTCTCATCAAACCTCAATATAGCCTTCAATGAAAAACTCCCATAATGTGTTCTGATAAAATATAATTCTCGAATATTCCACGGGTAATACAAGAATATAAAAAAGTTAAACTTTTTACTTTCGTGAAAAAGCCCTTCCCCTTTTTGGGTTCCCGGGCCAAGGCGCGCCCCCTTTGGACAAAATCAATTTTGTGAAAGGGGGACAGAACTTCCGGCCCTTTAAAATCGGCTGATAAAAGCGATCATTCCCATCGGTTGAGGGTGCTTGTATTAAATTAATTTTCGATAGTTTAAAAAAGCGAACTGGAGGTTCGCAAATTGCAAACATTTCAAAAGCAATAAATTTCATTTTCAAAGCAAAAACCTTTTCCGTCTCTTTGGTTTTTTTATTTTTATTTTGTAGTACACAGGGGGAATGGTATGTTAAAATAGAAGGGTGGTTGATGACTAAAAAATTTTTGAAAATCTATTTATAGAGGATTACTCCCATCGGGATTTCCCGTTCCTCCCCTTATTTTTTACCGTATACTAGTGACGGCGAAAAGTATATCACACGGTTTATTGGTTCCGATCTCTTCCCGGTAATTTTTGGACAGAAAAAAATTAGATGTTTGATCACTTCGTTACAGAACATAGACAACAAATATTTTACAGATAAATAGCTTTTGAAAAACAACAACACAACAAAATGCAGTTTCATGTTTGTTCACTTTAGTTTGGTTTTTACCAATCTTTAATTGAAAAAATAATTCATAGATTCAACTCTCAAATATATGATTATTATAAAAAAATCAAAGTAAAGTACGTTTTTAAAAATTAATTTATATATTTAAGATTTAAATGATTTTTTTCCTAAAATTTTGACTTATAAAGTCGGTCAAAATGACATTTGAATTCTTAAAATTTATTTTACAATTTTAATAAAAAGAATAGTAACGTAAAAAACTCAGTATTAAATAGCACATAAAAACACAAAAGAGAGAGGAAACAATGTTCATAAAATCTGTATTAATTTTTTTGTTATTAAAATAGATATTACAATTATTGTATAATAAACAATAATGCTTAACATGACATGGTAATATAACCAGTGTCATATTTTTACTAAGTGTGAACAGATACCTTAAGAGGGGGTCTTCGCTAATAGCGAATACATAATAAGGAACAGAACAGAACAGAACAGAAATTTTATTTCGTAACGTATACAATACAGTATCTTGTTACATTACACATATCAAATATTATAAATAGATAAACACATGATATAATTCAAAGATTTACAGTATATTGGAGATGAACATATATTGCTGCGAAAAAAAATTGATTTGTATAAATAAATGTAATTCAGAATAATCTCATTTTTAATATCAGAATAATCTCATTTTAATATAAAATTAATAGCGAAATCTAAACGTTAACAATATTTATGAAATAATAACAACATTTTAACATTACATTTATGTATAACCTAAGCTTATCAACATATCTTTCTTTTATATTTGCAAAATAAATAAATTTACATAAATTTAATAATATAGACTTTTCACATGACTGAAGTATCTATGAATTAAACATGCTAGGTTTTTTATAATAATATCTTTTAATAATTTTAGTGCGTTTTTCCCTGGTACAAATTAAAAAACAAGTAAAAAAGGGAAATTCGTCTTCAATATCTTTTATTAAAAAAGTTGCCCATTTTCGCTCGTCTTTAAAGTCTGTTTCTCCATTTTTCCCAGATTCTTTTTAAATTTATGCCAATATTCTGAGACCGGGTTAATTGTTGTTTTATTTCATACCTTAATTTTTTTTAAAGTTTCCCATGAAAAATTATCCTTATAATCTATAAAAATTATTAAACGTTATTATTAACAATATCTGAAACCATTTTTGTTTAAAAATCAATGACTTTTGTTTAAAATTTAAAAAATTTTTTTTGGATTATAAATTTTCGGGAAAAATTCCACACTCAAAAAAACCCAAAATTCATCAAAAATTCCTTTTATTTATATCCCCATTTTTTTCATCCTTTTTTCACTGATTTAAATGTATTTATATACACAATTTAACAATGATTTTGCTTGAAGTTCACTTAAACCAATATTTTTTTATTAAACATATCATTAAATAAAGGGGTATTTTCCAAGCTCACCTAAATTGCTCATTACAAGAGCTTTTTTCACACCAAGAATTAACTTGCAAAATTTAAAGTGAAATTCTCTATATCTTTAAAAATTTTGTAAATCCCCAACTGGACAAGCATAATTTATGATAGACCCGACAAAAGCATAAAAATAATTGTAAGGGAAAAGAAGGGGATATTTCATACTTGTTAATTTACATATTAAAACTTTCTTTGGGTTTCAATTTTACCTATAAGTTTTTATTGTAAAAGTACAAAGGACCAGGTTTTTAATACTACCTCTAAAAAATTTAAAAAATCGTCAACAATTTCCCCAACTTCATTATCATAAAAAAAACTTCATTGAGAATACTGGGCCTCTATTCCCAAAAAAAAACTTTTTAGTTTTGGGGGTATTTCCTCTAGGCCCCATAATTACGTATTCAAATAAAGAGTTTTTAATCTTTGCTGTAAATCCTCTTGCGATTACCAATTTTCCATATCGTCAGCGAAAAAATTTACTATACATATTTAAAAATATTAAAATCCCACAATCGCCCAAGTTTTTAAAAAAAATTTTTGGGTTTTTCCAAAAAATTTAGTCAAACTGGCGGGGGCAATTTTTTTTGGCCTTGTCGTAGCCCAACCAATAATTGAAAATTTCGAAAATGTATTGCAATTTTTAAAACAAAACGATTAAAAATTAAATTCATTTTGATTTGAAAGTTTAAGAATTTCCCCTTTTCAAAACCCCATATTAAACTTTTTATTTATAAGGAAAAATTTTCCCACAATTTTTGGTGTTGATCGGGCGTTAACCAAAAGGGGTAGGGTTTTGAAAATGATTGCTTACAGGGTTAATTCCTTTCCCAAATCAAAGTTAAAAAGACAATGTTCTTCCGTCCGTTCTTTTTGGGAAAAACCCAATTAAACCTTTTAAAAAGTTTTTTAAAGAATATCTTGAATCATATGTCTACTATTTCCATCTTCATTTTCTTATTTCTTTGCTTGGGACCCCCCTTTGATGTTTTTGTTCAATGTTTTTTCTTGTATTTACTTAATCAGTATTTAAAAAATTTAAAAATGCCCTGGGCATTTTTTTCTTTTTTAAGGGTTACTTTTAAAAATGTGGGTTTTGTTTAGGAACAAAAAAAAAATTTTTCGGGCGATGCTTTTTTTAACTATGGGGTTTGGGTTTTTAATATAAAAAAATAATAACGATACCCTGTCGAGATTTTTTTTTATTTTTTTAACCCCCTTTTGATCTCGCTTAAAAACCCTTTTAGGCTACACTGGGAAATAATCCCCAATTGGGGTTTAAAACAGTATCCGCTAAACCCTGACAGTAATGTGTTATTTTTTAAAACAAAATTTAGTGCTGAAAATTCATAGGGAAAATGACACCGAAGGGGTTCAAATGTCACCCAACGGAAAGGTTTTTTATATCCCAAATTTTTCGTTTTGGGTTCGTATTTTTCCAAAGGTTTATTCATTTAGCCCCCAATCCGATGCGTAGCTTAAAAAAAAAGATGGCTCAAAAAAAGGGCCCAAAAACCCCTAAAATTTGAATTTTAATTTTTCCTTCTTTTTGTTTCCGTTTTTGTTTTTTTCAAATGTTTTTTTTTCACGGAGATTTCTTTTTAAAGCTTTTTAACGGAGAGTTTTAATTTTTTTGGGAAAAAACAGACCCTTTTTTTTTGCTTTTTTTTTTACTAAAAAACCCAAAATAAGCAAAACTTAGGGGGTTTTGCTATATATCTTGTTTTTTGGCTTAAACAGAAAAAAATCTATTATTTTATTTTGTTATTCCACTATTTAATTTACTCTTTGGGGTTTTATGTTTTAATGTTTTCCTATCTTTTTTTTAAGGGAATTTTTTTTTTGTAATTATACAGAAGGGACATGTAAAAGGGGAAAAGGCCCTTTACTTTAAAAAATTAGTTTTTTGATGAAAGGTTTGGGAAAATGGTACTTATTTTTTAAAAATCAATTATTTCTCCAAATTTTCTGTTTCTGCCCAAATTATTTAGTTCTTTATTTGAAAGCCCATGTAATGAAAAAACATTATTAAACCCGGGGAATTTTGAAAAATTTGCTTCTATTTTATTTAATAAATTTATTTCCCAAATTTCCTCCCCCACCCAATGAATAAAATTTTCCCCCCCGATTACTTTTAATTTTGGATTAAATATTTACTTTAAGTTAATAAAAAAGGAAATTTTTAAAATTTAATTTACGGTTCCCCCGGTTTTTCAAAAATTCGGGTTAAAAAATGTGGTTCCCCAATTTTAAAATAACCCTTTGTTTTTGGTTGTAAGTTCACCTAAGGTTTTTGAAAAGAACAAGGGGATGCAAAAAACCCTTTTATTTTAATTATTTCCCACCCCTTTTTTATTCGAAGAAAGAAAAATTTACTTTTTTTAAAGTTTTTTAAATTGAAAAACCCGTCTTTTAAAAAAGGTTTATTTTATTTTGTTTGATCTCCCTCTTTCCCTTTCTTTTTTCATGAAACTACAAGTAGTCAGTAAAACAAAATGTTATTTTAAAAATGTTGTTTTGGACTTTTTAACTGTTTTGGTTTTTTAAAATTTCCTTCTATTTGACCTTTTTTCGTGTTAAATTGTTTTTGGTTCTGTATTTTTTTTTAAAAACCCCTTTGGGAAAAATAGTGTAAAAAACCCCTTTTTGGATATTTTACCTTTTTTAAATTTTATTTTTTTGACCTTTTGTTTCCTTTTAAAATCCATTTTTTTTAGTTTTCCCCCATTTTCTCTATTTTTTAAATATTTGTATGTTTTGGGAAATTGAAACGAACTTTTTTACTATACTTTTAAATTTCCCTGTCACTTTCGTATGAATACATCTATTGACTTTTTCATTTCCTTTAAGTGTATTTTTTAAATTTAAAAATTGAGAATTCTGCCCAAAAACCGGTGCTAGGGGTGTGGATGGGAACTTCAATTTTCACTACGGTTGTTCCCATATACGGAAAAAGTGTAAATAAAAAAATCCCCCAAGTTAAATTCTAATAATTTTTATGGTTAAATTTGACGAAAAAAAATAAAATCATACGATTATGTAAAATGTTACAAAATTAAAGGGCAACCCCAATTTCCCGTAACCCAAAAATACTCGATGCCTTAAAAAGGGAAAGGGGGGCAAAAAGAAAAATAATTTTCCAAAATTTAAAAAGACGAAATTTAAAAAAATTTTTGAACGCACAAAAAAGTCAAAATTTAAAATGTTTTCCCTTTTCTCGGTTTGGTTGAGCCTTTTTATTAACGGCACTTCAATGCAAACTTTTCAGTACCCCGCCCCTAGCACCGAAATTTAACAAAATTTAACCCTTTAAACAGGTTAAAGGTGATTTTGTATTTAGAAACCCAAACCCCAGGGGCGTTATAATGTTTTCATGGGAAACCTTTTTAAGGAAACTTTTTTCATTCCATAAAAAGCGGCCCTTATGGTCCCCAAAACAAGGGTATGGTCCTAAAGAAAAAAAACAATTTAGTGGAAATAAATTAAAAAAGGGAATTTTTAAAAGGGGGAATTTAGAGGTAGGTTAGAAACCCATTTACAATACGTCATTCCCCCTTAAAACAGGCCTCTTTTACCTAGACGTAAAAAATTTTTTAAACTACAATTTTAAAATTTTTTTAAATTTTCCCAATTACACGACGGACTTTGTAAAAAATTTTCTAAAATTTTTTAAAAAGCGATAGCCTTGTTTTTAAAATTTCCTAAAAAATAAAATTGCTTTTATAGAATCATCCACACGACAGCAGGGCCCAAGGGAGATTTTAATTTAATTTGAATTTTATATACAGGGAAAATTTTGTTTTTATTAAGGGACAGTGAAAGTAAACAATTTTTTAAAAAAAAAATTATATAATTTTTGTTTTATTTTATTTTTAAAGATAAAATGTTAAAATTTGAAAAAATTAAAGTTTTTTTTATTATTTTACGTTCCTTTTCATATATTTAAAATTTTATTTGATTTAAATTTTTATATTTCATGTTAAAATATCATATAGGTAGCGGTTTTTCTATTTAAAAGCCCAAAATATAGCTTCCCGGGTTTTGAAATAGTAAGAGACTTAAATAAAAACCCTCTAGTAAAAATTTAAAATAAATATTAAAAAAATAAATGTCATTGGGATTATAATTTTTAATAATCAGGAAAAAAGAGTGGGTTTTGGGGCAATTAAAAAAGGGAAAAATTGATTTAAATTTAAACTTTAGTTTTGTGGGGGTTTTTTCAAAGAGAACCCTATTTCACGTCTTTAGAAAACCCACTTAAATAATCTATCCTCAAATATAAAAATTTTGCAAACAATGTCCAAAGGGCCCCAAACGTCCGGTAAGCTCAAAAGGTTTGAGCCCTTTTACAATGAATCGGGGAACCCTTTTTTGGTTCCCGGGGCGGGGGAGGGCATTTTCCTTTTTTGACTACCCTGAAATAGTTTCTATGGGTTTTTCCATGTTTCCACGCTTTTGCTAGCCTTTCGAAAATGAGGGGAAAATTATGGTAAACTGTTTGCAGCCCGTTCCCGGAACGATTCGGTGGGTGAATGTGCTCTTGGGGAAATTTTAAAATTGGGGTTTCCCGCCCCCCTTTTGGTAAAATTACCGACCCAACACCACCCTCCCGAAATCTATTAAATTTTAAAACTGTTAACCCGCTGTTTTCAGACTCGGTTTTTATTGGCCTGTTCCCTGGGCCGGTACTGGAAAATTCAGTTTTCCTAGCTTTTCCCCCAGCACAGAATTACTATCAGGGAAAACCCAGGAAAAGATTAAACTTTTTTATCGTCCAATTTTAAAGGGTTTTTTAATTCCTTTCCTGAAGTTACAAAAAAAACCTTTTAAACCAAAAAGTCAAATCATTAAAAAAGGAAAGTTTAGTTTGGAAAAGCGTGCTCTCTATTTTTTAGTGGGTTTATTTGTTAAAAAAACTTGATACATACCCCCTGTACACAGGGTTTAGATTATGAGTTTAACAAGTGTTTCCCAAAGGGTTCCAAAAACGAATGTCATGGGAATTTTTAAATAATTTTCTGGGGGTTTGGGGCTGTAAAAATTTAAAAATTTAAAAAAGGGGATATTTTTTTCAAAAGCTTTTATAGACCTCCCCCATGTTCAAGTGCGAGGGTGATGGTAAACAAGTGTGCAAATTTTTAAAGCCATTTTGTCAATGATTTTAGCTGGTTCCGCGCGCTCCCAAATAGGATGTTGTCCTTAATCGCGAATAGGGTTTAGCCCAAAAAGGGAAACCCTTTAATAATTTTTTTTCAAATTTACACCCCAAAGTTTAAAATTTTTTATAAAATGTTTTTATTTTAAATTTTTGATCAGTTGCAGAAAAATCTCTTACTGTAAACGGAAAACCACCCCTTTTTAAATTTCCCCAGCAAATTAAAATTTTTTCATTTTTTTAATTTTTTTTAACCTCCTTTAATAATGACAAAACCCCCAAATATGGGGCAGCCGCTCAAAATTTAAAAACAAAAGCCCGCCAAAAAAAAGAAATTTCTTATTTTAAATGTATAACTCTTTTTAAAAAAAAAATTTTAGAGGGAAATATCTCAAAGAGTTTTTTAGCTTTAAGTGCATTACCCAATGGGTTGGGGGAGATAAATTTTTGTTTTCCCGGGGAAAAATTTTTTTTAAAAAAATTTTAAAAATTTGGAATTTTTTTTTAATTTTTTTTTTTTCTTAAAAAGCCTTTTAAAAAGGGGGTTTTGGGATTGAAAATTTACCCACAAGTATAATCAAAATCACATTTTAAACCCAACAATGGAAGTTGTGGCTAAGGGAAAAAACAAACTTAGCAAACAAATCCTTTAAAAAAAAGGCTACACAAAAGGGCAAAGCAAAACCGAATTTTCAAGGGCCCTTTTTGTGTTTATAAAACAAAAAAAAAAAGATACAGTTTCTGTATTTTTAAATTTTTGACACACTGGGAGGGGTTTTTTATGAAAAATAAAGTTTTCATCAAATAACCCAATTTAAAAAAATTTTTTTATCTTTTAACACTATTATATATTTAAAAAAAAAAAGATTTAATTTAAAATTGACTCCCTTGTAATTTCCCCCCCCACCCTTTGTATATGAATTTAAAACAATTAAAAAAAGTTTTTGGCCCTTTGTTCGCTTATTCTAAATTAAATTATATTTTTTTTAAAAACATATTAAAAGAAATTTTATTTATGTTTTTTTCGTTTTAAAAAAGAAAAAAACTAATTTAAAATTTCACATTTTTTCAGGAAAGGACACCCCGTTTGCAACAAATTTTTTCTTCTTTTTGTTAAAATTAGGGGATGAAAAATTAAAAAAAAAAAACAATTAAAATCAACCTTTTATAGCAAAAGGAAGGGGAAAAAAGAAATTTTATTTCAAAATTTTAATTTGATTTTCAAAAATGAAAAAGGGAAAAAACCAACTTTAAATTATTTGAAATTTTGGGATTTGGGGGCCACTTTGCGCCATATTGGGTTTCTTAGCCCTTTGTCGGGGTTTGGGCCAAAAGAAAAATCCATTCCAAAACTACAATCCCGCGAAATTTTGGGAAGAAACTTGCTGTTGGGGGACATAACCACTTACCCCTTTTAAAAAAGGTAGTTTAAAATGGGTGATTTTTCAGCACAAAAAAATATTTAAATTTATTCGGAAAATTTGAAAAAATTTTTGATTTTTTCTGATAATATTAAATTTAATTTTTGTTTTAAAATTTTGCCAAAAAAAGTGAAACATTATTAAATTATTATACATTTTGTTTTTTTTTGATTCTAACATTGTGCTGTTTTATTAATTTTTACATTGTGTTGTTTTACTAATTCTTACATTGTGTTGTTCTATAAATTCTAAAATTGTGTTGCTTTATTAATTTTTACATTGTGCTGTTTTATTCATTTTTACATTGTGCTGTTTTAATGATTCTAACACTGTGATGTTTTATCAATTCTTACATTGTGTTGTTTTATTATTTTTTACATTGTGTTGTTTAAATGATTCTAACATTGTGTTGTTTAATCAATTCTAACATTGTGTTGTTTTCGTCAGGTACATCCACGCATGAGCATGATGTGCAGAATAAAGTCCCTGTTCTGATCATCGCAGTGGGAACAATTTGTGTCACTTTGATTGCGACAGCAGTAGGTCTAGTGTATGCACTAACAAAGAGGCGAGCTAAAAGGTTTACTATAATATAATAAATAATTTAAAAGAATTATATATGACTTATTTCATTTATTGCCGTATAAATTATTAAATGCATGTATTATCTACAACTGTATCTTTGTAATAACATTCTTTTCTCAATTGTACATTATATCCGCTATACAGTGTATTGGCGATGAACATTGTATATGTTTATGCCAAATAAATCTTGAATTGAATTGGTATAAAATATTGGTATAATAATTAACAATTCGTAATAAATGCTGCCAGGATGACTCAATTTTACTTGAACGATAACGAGTTATAATTAGTAATAACGTTTGAAACCTAAACTTAAATGCATATTATACAAACACCAAAATAGGAAGGTGTGGTTTACTAACACAAAAGAACACTTAGCTACTCTCATATTTTTAAAGGATTTATATTATATACTAAATGGTATGATAGTCTTAACGATACATTACCTTGTCAAACACCTTAAGCTTGATAAAAATCTCGTTTACATTAGTTCAGTATTTTTCAAAATAATTGGGGACGGCGGAGGGACATTTAAATAAAATAAGACTGTAAATTTTAACAGATGACATCTTTGCAGAAGAAGACTGGATCCTTTAATTTTTTTGGATGCAATTTTGTTTTTTAACCACGGAAAGAATAATAGTTTATGCACTCTTCAATGTATATCTATACCAGTTGTTATTAGCTCACCAGAGCCGAAGATTCAGGGTGAGCTATTATTATCAAAGGGTGATACTCCGGTGTCCGTCGTCCGTCGTCATGCGTCAACAATCATCTTCTTCTCTGAAACTGCTGGGCAGATTTACCTCAAATTTTGTCTAAAGCATTCTTGTGACAATCACACTTTTATTTGCACATATCATTTTAATTGGCCCCTTTTAGGGGTCAACAGAGCTAAAAAATAGAAATACCTTTAAACATCTTCTTTTACAGAACCAATGGATGGATTATCACCAAACTTTGTCTGTAGCATTCTTTGGTAGTCTTTTATCAAGTTTGCTCATATTAATTTGATTGCCGGCTTTTAGGGGTCTCTAGAGCTAAAAATAGAGAGAAAAAAACCCTTTAGACACCTTCTTCTACAGAATTAATTGATGGATGATCATCAAACTTTGTCTATAGTATAGTTAGGTTGTCTTTTATCAAGTTTGCTCATATTAATTTGATTGCCGGCTTTTAGAGGTCTCTAGAGAGCTTAAAATAGAAAAAAACTTTAGACACCTTCTTCTTCAGAATCAATTGTTGGATGATCATCAAACTTTGTCTGTAGCATTGTTAGGTAGTCTTTCATCAAGTTTACTCATACTTATTTGATTGGCTCCTTTAAGGGGCTGCTAAAGCTAAAAATAGAAATACATTTAAACGTCTCCTTCTTTTTGTTAAACTGGATTCAAACTTGGAGAAAACACATTTCAACAAATTTTGGGACATACTGTTGAACCTGAGTTGCATGTGCATAATTGAATTTTGGCATCAATTGAGCTGTTTGTGATATTTTTGAAATAATTTCACCTACCTTTTGTTTTTTATGTACAGACTTGAAATTTGGACCAGGAATGTAATTTCTGATGCGAATTGAATTAAGATATCAATTGACTTAATTTGATATTGAAATTTGATGTTGTTTGTTCTCCGATGTACCTACTTGAAATTTAGACAAGGGGTTTAATTTCTGATCCTGAATTGAATTTTGTTATGAACTGACCTTCTTTTGATATTTTTGATATCGCTTGAGCTACCAATTTTTTCTTTTATGTAAAGACTAGAAATTTAGACCAGGGGTGTAATTTGTGTAATTTTTAATGTTAAATTGAATTTTGATATCAGCTGACCTACTTTAGATATCATTGACACCATTTGACCTACTTTCTTTTTTTTGACATTCAGATTTTAAATTTGGACAGAGGAGGGGGTAAATTCTGATGTCGACTCGAATTTTGATATCAACTGACCTACTTTTGATATTTTTATATCGCTTGACCTACTTTCTTAATTTTTTGATATACAGACTTGAAATTTTGACCATGGGTGTAATTTCTGATGCCATATTGAATTTTGATATCAACTGTTCTACTTTTGATTTTATTGATATCAGTTGACCTACTTGCTTGCTTTTCGAAATACAGACGTGGAATTTGGACCAAGGGTGCAATTGCTGCTGTTAAATCAAAGTTTGATAAAATCTGATCTACTTTTGATATTTTTATGTCATTTTACCTACTTCCTTGTTTTTTTGACATACATACATGAAAAAAACAGTACAAGTATATGACTGCGGGGGGGGCAGATAAAAGTTGAGCTGGACTTGCCTATCGGCAAGTTCATTTGAAAAATAATTTCTAACACTGAAAAAACATTTGTTTCTGGTGAGCGACTCAGGGCCATCATGGCCCTCTTGTTTTAATAACCACGACAAAAATAATAATGTACGTTCTACATTGTATACGTATACAGAAATTGTCGTCAACAGTCAATGAAAATCCACGCGACAAACAAACAGCCTAAAAAGCAAGGTAAATACAAATTTCACATCTCTACTTTATGCAGTGAGGTACTCAAAATAATCTTTAATGTTTAAATACCAAGAATTGTTTATCAAGAATGAAGAATAAATTAATCTGATAGTGCTACAAGTAAACTCATCGATTTCAGATTGATTTTATATACATGTTTATTATACAGCAGATGTAGACGCTATAAGTCAAAGCATAGAGGAAGGATCATCAACAACAACAACAACAACAGGTAACCAAACAAAATTGTCAATCAAATTTGCATTTTTCATTCATGTCTTATATAAATCAAAATGAGAATTTCAAATCAAATCAAATCTAATTTAATATATATCATTTTATTTTGTACTTTCCATTTTATAAGACAAGAAAATTGTATTTTTTCAATATTGTTATATTTTGTTGAACTAAGTAAGAACTTGTATAACTGGATATATTGTCAGATGGTATAAACAGCATTGATGGTCACCTACAAAATGAAGAACGCTCGTATCAAAGGCTAAATTATATGCTAGGTAATCCTTCAGCTCGCCACTAAAAAATAATTGTGCTGTGCTCTTTTTATAACCACATGATGTGTTTTTATTCTTTACATTCTTTACAAGCTTTATACATTTATATTTCATTGATCCATTGTCTAAGATAACATAAGATCTGATCTACATGTTCCACTTTTTATCTAACATTACATGTACGTGCCATCGCTTGATATAACGTTAAACATGATTGTTCCATCGTTTGATTTAACATTGTAAATGATTGTTCCATCGCTTGATATAACATTGAACATGATTGTTCCAACTCTTGCTATAACAGAGGACATGATTGCCAAATCGCTTGATATAACATTGTACATGATTGTCCTATCGCTTGATATAACATTGTACATGATTGTTCCAACTCTTGCTATATTATTGGACATGATTGCCCCATCGCTTGATATAACATTGTACATGATTGTTCCAACTCTTGATATAACATTGGACATGATTATTCCATCGCTTGATATAAAATTGTTCATGTTTTTTACATCGCTTGATATAAAATTGATCATGTTTATTCCAACATTAGATATAACATTTCACATGATTGTTCCGTCGTTTGATATAACATTGTACATGACTATTCCATCGCTTGAAATAACATTGTTAATGAATGTTCCATCGCTTGATATAACATTGTACATGATTGTTCCATCGCTTGATATAACATTGTACATGATTGTTCCATCGCTTGATATAACATTGTACATGATTATTCCATCGCTTGATATAAAATTGTTCATGTTTATTCCGTCATTTGATATAACATTTCACATGATTGTTCCATCGTTTGATATGACTGTCCCGTCGCTGGATATAACATTGTACATGATTTTTTGATCGCTTGATATAACATTGTATATGACTGTTCCATCGGTTGATATAATTTGTACATGACTATTCCATCGCTTGATATAACATTGTTCATGTTATTCCATCATTTGATATAATATTTAACATGATTGTTCCGTCGTTTGATATGACATTGTACATGACTGTTGTTCTATCGCTTGATATAACATTGTGCATAAATGTTCCATCGTTTGATATAACATTGGACATGACTGTCCCGTCGCTTGATATCAATTTGCACATGGTTATTCATTCGCTTGATATAACATCGTATATAACTGTTTCATCGCTTGATATGAATGGTACATGACTGTTCCATCGCTTGATGTAACATTGTACATGATTGTTCCATCGCTTGATATAACATTGTACATGATTGTTCCATCGCTTGATATATCATTGTACATGATTGTTCCATCGCTTGATGTAACATTGTACATGATTGTTCTATCGCTTAATATAAAATTGTACATGATTGTTCCATCGCTTGATATAACATTGGACATGATTGTTCCGCCGCTAAATGTAACATTGGACATGACTGTTCGGTTCGTTGACTATTAACGTTTTGCATCGATTGTTCTATCGCATGATACCAACTATTGTTACTACATGATTGTTCTATCGCTTGGCAACACTTTGTACATGATTGTTATATTCGCTTGACGTATACATGTACTATGATGTTCTATCGCCTTCATTATAACATGTTACATGAATGTTTCCATCTTGCTTGACATAAACATTTGTAATGATTGTCCCATCGCTTGATATAACACTGTACATGATTGTCCCATCGTTTTATATAACATTGTACATGACCGTTCCATCGCTTGATATAACATTGTACATGACTGTTCCATCGCTTGATATAACAGTGCACATGACTGTTCCATCGCTTGATATAACATTGTACATAAATGTCCGTCGTTTGATGTTTCATTACATGCTCCACTGTTCGATATGTTGTTAAACGTCTTAAATATTGAATGATATTATATGTTCAAACGTTGTGGGTGATATAACATTACATTCCGATTGTTTGATATAACATTACATGCTCCATTGTTTGATAGAACATTACATGCTCCATTGATTATTTCGTTTGAAATTACGCCTCCATCTCCTGATACGATATGGCAGGTTCCTTTGTTTTATATGAAATTATATGTTCCATTATTTAATACTATTGTATATGCTTCATTATTTGATACGAAATTATATGTTACATGTACATTGTTTGATTCGATATAACATGCTCTATTATTTCATATGATATTGCAAGTTCTTTTCTTTGGGGTGATATTATATGCTTCATTATTTGATATCGTTTTATATTCCGTATATATTTTAATATAACACTATATTTCATTGTTTTATATGGTATTTATGCTCTATTATATGATATAATATTATTTTAAAGGCAGTGACAACGCCTACAGTGAATATAGAAAATAAACAACTAAAGGTAATCTTATATTACACATTATAACTGTTTAACTCTTTATGGCTAAAAAATTAATAAGTCTTTGCCACATGTTCGTTTAGTCTGGCTAACATGTATACTGCGCGTTAATAGTAAAATGTTTGTATTGTGAGATTGGGATTCCTGAATATTTGAATTGTCAGTTGAAGATTTAAAGCAGCACTAAAATTCAAAATTCAGCATGTGGTTATATTTTAAAGTATTATATATACACTTAAGAAGTACTGACGATTCAATTTTGTCAGAAATCTGTTTCTGTATTAGACATAAACAGATATCTAACAATAAATTGTTAATAAAGGTTCCGGTTGTTTAGCTTTAGGTTAGCTTTCGAAGAATGAGAGCTTAGTACATTTGTTATCACGTTTTGCTTGTTACGTTTCAGGGAGGCTGTTTGGGAAATGACATATCCGAGAATCTACACAAATAATAGAGTTAAGAAAACATGTGAAATATCTCGAAGATTCGCAATGAAAATAAGATTAAAAGACAAATTAAGTGTACATTATACAACAAGATTATTCCGTTAACTGCTATGTGTTGTCTATACTTACCAAGTAGCAGACAAAATGTTTCTTAATTCAGCTGAACATTATACATTTACAGCGACATTTAGTATCTTGTTATTTATCTCAAAATCTTTACTATAATTCACGTATTTCTTTCATGTGAAATTTATATGATATTGTATAAATTGATTATTGTTTTCTGAATTCCGTTTTACTATTTCATGTTCCAAAAATAGCAACAGTGAACATCAATATCACCGTACACTATTATATGACCGAGTGAACCGTGTACCGAAATTTTGCTTCTCCTTTAACTTTTGAACCAATATAACTAAATTACGAAACGGAGATTTTTTGGCGGAAATTGCACAAATTGTTATCTAGTTTGATTTTCTTCAAATATTGTGGTTGCTCTGTATACTGTTTATTCCAATCAAATGATATAAACTTTTTAATGTAAAGCTGGGACTTAAAATTGTTTTATTAACATATGTCTTTATATGTACTTTATGTCTGTTTTGGAAATCTCTGTTGCAGAGGAAAGTTTCCATATACTTACCAAAGCATTAACAGAAAGTTTGATTATTGAATTTTACAAGGAATTTTTATTTTGATACTGCTTTTAATATATAAATCATCATTTTTTAAAATTTAGTTTGATGACATAACATAAATTGTTCCCTTTGTAGAAAAAGTATCCCTTATGCGCCAAGAAAATGTCCATTCCTCCGGAATATAATCTTTCAAAACATTAAAAAAAATGAAGTGTAAAACAAACTTTCATTATGATACATATTCAATATATCTGTAATGAATTCTAATTTGTTAAATAATTGTAATTTATACATTCATTATGCTTTGTATGCAAAAATATCTCCAAATATTTTTCGAATTATACAAATCTTCCACAGCTGCAAAAAGACCTCTCGCATGCTTCTTTTTAAAGAAGCAAACTTGTACTACTTACCTTAATTCAATAAGTTAACTTGATAGAATGTTCAGTTTGGAACTTATATATAACTTATTATTTAATTATTTTCATTCTTTATTCTGACGCTGTGGTATGATTCTTTTCATTTCAATCATTTACTGGAAACAATTCTTATTTGCAATGCTCAAGTGTTGTATTTAAAACCATGTATGTTTTGATTAACTTTTGTAATAATCATGTATTTATGTTGTTAGGCTTTTTCTTCATATTATATTCATTAAATTTGACGAACCTACGCCAGGAGTTTTGTTATAATTCTACTCTGTGACTATGGTCAGGCTAGGTTGGTTATATATTGATGGATGTACAGGGTAGACTGGTTATATATTGATGGATGAACAGGGTAGACTGGTTATATATTGATGGAGTATAGGGTTGACTGGTTATATATTGATGTATGTACAAGGTAGACTGGTTATATATTGATGGAGTACAGGGTTGACTGGTTATATATTGATGGATGTACAAGGTAGACTGGTTATATATTGATGGATGTACACGATAGACTGGTTATATATTGATGGAGTACAGAGTTGACTGGTTATATATTGATGGATGTACAGGGTAGACTGGTTATATATTGATGGATGTACAGGGTAGACTGGTTATATATTGATGGATGTACAGGGTAGACTGGTTATATATTGATGGATGTACAGGGTAGACTGGTTATATATTGATGGATGTACAGGGTAGACTGGTTATATATTGATGGAGTATAGGGTTGACTGGTTATATATTGATGGATGTACAGTGTAGACTGGTTATATATTGATGGAGTATAGGTTTGACTGGTTATATATTGATGGAGTACAGGGTTGACTGGTTATATATTGATGGATGTACAGGGTAGACTGGTTTTATATTGATGGTTGTACACGATAGACTGGTTATATATTGATGGAGTATAGGGTTGACTGGTTATATATTGATATTTGTACAAGGTAGACTGATTATATATTGATGGAGTACAGGAAAGACTGGTTATATATTGATGGAGTACAGGGTAGACTGGTTATATATTGATAGATGAACACGATAGACTTGTTTTATTTTGATGGATGTACAGGGTAGACTGGTTTTATATTGATGGATGTACAGGGTAGACTGGTTTTATATTGATTGAGTACAGGGTAGACTGGTTATATCCCGATGGTATTATCAAGGTTTTATAGCTGTTAAAATTTAAACTGTTATCATTAGTAAATGGATATATTTGAAGCCCCTAAGACCTGTTACCTTATAGTACATGTACAGTTGAAGTAAGTAAATTAGACTTACATTAATCATATTTCATTTGTAAGTACCACACACATGCTATTAAATAATCAACACAAATTGAGTTATCAAGTTTTTATTTTCTTAAACAATCCACACATGTTAAAACATGATGTTTCATAATATAATACATTATGCTATACATTGTTTATAAAAAATACTACTTTTTACTTACTAAACTGTAATTCTAACTTCAAGTATCAAGAAACATAAACCTTTCACACATGAAGCTAATATACATCAACATATTTAACAAGTGTTTATGAATATATAACAGTATACAAGCTCTCAAAGCCTTGTTTATACAAATATACATGTTCAGTTAGGTGTTGAACATTGCAACCAATATTAGTTGAGCAATAAATCACTTACAATATACTTGTCGACTAGAACGTTACACAAATCTGTTATTCTAAAATAAAGTTGTTAATTGAACAGACCTTCAGACATTGCAACTTAAAATTATCATTTTGCTAACAAAACATGTCAGTCATACAATAAATTAAACTTTGTTTTATGGTCAATCTCCTCTAAGTCAGGACAGGCATAATTACAGATTATATGACAATTTGTTATAACTAAGCAACAAATAACAACTTGTACATTACTCGAGTTCATTATTGAATCTTCAATCACAATTATGTACCATCTATGTAGAGAACTTTACCTAGACAACTTATATATCATGTACAGGAGTACACCTAACCAATAGTTCTCAGGACAAAGTACACCGATTTATTGATTTATGTACCAAATTGCACCCAGGCAATGGACAACTATACATAAGTACACCTAGGTAATTGATCTTCATAAAGAAGTACATTTAAAAAATTTATCTATGTATATGTACATTCTAGACATTGAGATAATTTATGTGTAGAAACACAATGTGACAATTAATATTATATGTACAGAAGTACACCTAGAAAACTGAAGTACACCTTGACAATTGATCTATATACAGAAGTACACCTTGACGATTGATCTATATACAGAAGTACACCTTGACGATTAATCTTTGTACATATATCTATCTTTAATTTTAAAGAAACCTTAATGTACACCTAGGAAATTATTCTTTAAGAGCACACCTCATTCATGTTCAGATAGTGTGACACATATAAGTACACAAGAAAAGATGTGAAGTTTTCATGACATATTACAATCTATAGACTTTGTTAAAAGCTACACTGCTAAGATCATGTAGTGACTTTCTAAGTGTACTCACTACAAAAACAGACATTCTGAAAAGTATTTTGACATTACTGGACATTCAGTCTGGAAGAATTACTGAACTGCATCATTTGTTTCCTGGACCAAATGGAAATTAGAAAAGACACGCTGAATAATTTAAATTCCTATTTCGTTAACATTTGCACCTGGCCCATCACCTTCAAAATTGCATCAAATACTCATTTCTTGTAGTCGCAAAAACTAATAATTTTCTAACCAGAAGTAAGTATTTGTTTGCGTGCAATACTGAAATAGGGATAATACAACTTAATTTTCTAATGTGTTAATCCGGATTAATTCGTAACAGCAAATTAATATATGAAAATTATTGATTTGGAATACTGATTATTAATGTGTTTATTTTAAATGTTATTTTGAAGATCCCTTATGTAAAAGTTGAATATAAAATCTTTAGATTGTTCCTGGACAGTCTGACCAGCTTGGACAGATATTTTCCCGGTCCAAACAAAATTTTTACAGTCAGGTCTGTAGGACCAGCACATTTCGGAATGTCTGCAAAAACCCTTATAGTGCTTTACTATACATCCGTACTTAAATCTTAAACTATCAATATATACATAGAGAAGATGTTATAGCTTGATAACAAAATAAAATATCTGTAACACAATGAGCACCTTACACTCTAGTGAGATATAAAACATATAGTATAACAAGTCACACTTTGTTCATGAAATAATATCACACACTTAGTTTATTAGTGCCTCAGTTAAACTTATATATGTGTAACAACAAGATTCTCATAGTAGAAACATAAATAAAATATGTCAGTTAAATAATAAAATATTATGTTATTCAGTCACACAGCCAAAAAATTAACTATGCATTTTCTTCACAATAAAATCATGTCATGGAAATAAGTGTATTTTATAAAGATAAATAAATAATGTGTGTATCAACTGACAGAAACTTCCAGGAAAAATCAGGATGACATATATAGAGAACATGTTAATTCCAAGTATACATGATATTTACACAACTATCTGTGTATACAAGGCAAGTACCAATATAAACAGGTAAAGTTATGTATCACATTATGAATTCTTCTCTATTATATCTAAAGTGAAGTTTGTCTACTCTAGTCAAACATTTTAATTTATAATAAGATCTAGAGAGACTGATGGCCCTGGGTGACTCACCTAAGATAAATGGCTAGAAAAAGATCACAATTTTTATCTTTCAATGTTAAAATGAGTAAATGAGATCACATTTGGTATGTCATTTTTTACCCAAGCTGCATGATTTCAAAAATATTTGTAATGTCTACTATCAGAAATGCTTAATGAAGAAAAATTCTAAACTCTTGCCAGTCTAATTTCACAAAAGAGGACTTAAATGTCTAACATTACTTAGGAAAAGCTCCACTAGGCAATTCTTTATGCCAGATATCTAAGCTTTTGGCATTCACAAAAGAAGATTTGAATGCATTTCCTATACAACAAGAACAAAATTAATTGACTGCCTCTGTGGTCGAGGGGTTAGAGTCGATGACTTCTAATCCAGTTACCTCTCTGGCGTGAGTTCGATCCCCGGGAGATGCTTTGGTAGTTTAGCAAGGAGGAAGGTAGTCTAGTACTGGTGTAACTCTCCAGGAACGATGGTTAGGAAACTACCCGCCTATATGACTGAAATACTGTTGGGAAAAGGCGTAAAATGAAACAAACAAACAATTAAATTCTACTGACAAAAAGATTAAATTGCTTAAAACCAATAGTTCAAGTAAAACCTTCCAAAAACTTTTAACAGACTGTATAGTACAAATATTGAAAAAACATCTTCCATGTTTTACACCACTAAATATTAACAGTCCAATAAAAAGATTATTGTGCCAGCTCAGGGAATAATTATAGAATGTTGTTGGACTGCTAATGCTATACTGGATATTATAATATCTAAAGAAGGAACAGATTTGTAAAATGTGTAATAAATATCATATTGGTATTTACTTATAGAACAGTCACTCAGCATATATCCCTCACAAAATTTGATACCTGGTGATATATAATAAATATTTTATAAGTCATGGACATGTGTATAACAAGTATATAATTTGCATAACATAAAATAACAGCAGCTCTCATTTGTAAAATAAAGTACATGCTTCCTATCAATATATAACCTCCAAACATTCTAATCTTATTTTCTGTTCTATACACTTATCTAAGCTTAAATGTTGTACACTATTCACTGATGACAAGCCTTGATCACAGTATCATGTTATATAATTATATATCATCAAACAAAACAAACAACATAAGTGAAAATAATTATAAAGCATAGTGTTGTAGATGAATACAATCATGTAAAGATATATCAACAATATAATAAATGTCATTACAGTGATAACGTTCATCATCTGTATGCTCTATGTTACATTGTTTATGTCTAAATATACATTGTAACATTGTTTATGTCTAAATATACATTGTAACATTGTTTATGTCTAAATATACATTGTAACATTGTTTATGTATAAATATACATTGTAACATTGTTTATGTCTAAATATACATTGTAACATTGTTTATGTCTAAATATACATTGTAACATTGTTTATGTATAAATATACATTGTAACATTGTTTATGTATAAATATACATTGTAACATTGTTTATGTCTAAATATACATTGTAACATTGTTTATGTCTAAATATACATAGTAACATTGTTTATGTCTAAATATACATTGTAACATTGTTTATGTCTAAATATACATAGTAACATTGTTTATGTCTAAATATACATTGTAACATTGTTTATGTGTAAATATACATTGTAACATTGTTTATGTATAAATATACATTGTCAAGATTGTTTATGTATAAATATACATTGTTAACATTGTTTATGCATAAATATACATTGTTACACATTGTTTATGTATAAATATACATTGTAACATTGTTTATGTCTAAATATACATTGTAACATTGTTTATGTCTAAATATACATTGTAACATTGTTTATGTATAAATATACATTGTAACATTGTTTATGTCTAAATATACATTGTAACATTGTTTATGTCAAAATATACATTGTCACATTGTTTATGTATAAATATACATGGTAACATTGTTATTGTCTAAATATGCATCATAACATTGTTTATGTGTAAATAAGACATTGTAACATTGTTTATGTCTAAATATACCTTGTCACATTGTTGATTTATAAATATACATGGTAACATTGTTATTGTCTAAATATGCATCATAACATTGTTTATGTGTAAATAGACATTGTAAAATTGTTTATGTCTTATGTACCTTGTCACATTGTTTATGTATAAATATACATTGCAACATTGTTATTGTCTAAATATGCATCATAACATTGTTTATGTGTAAATAAGACATTGTAACAGTTTAAACATAAACAAGAGCTGTCACAGGAGACAGCGAAGCTCGACTAATAAAATACTGGACGCAGTAAGGAGGACAAAATACTAAAGAAAAATCAATTATGTATAATTATGTATTAAGTTATAGTAAAAAAATAACATTTGTTAACATAAATTCCAAGATCAAGGGGAATAATTCTTGAAATAGTCATGCTAGAGTTATGGACCTTGTCACACAACATTTGTGTAATGATAAGAAATATATATTTGAAGTAGACACCTTAAAAAGTAAAGAAGTTATTATATTTCTTAAAGAAAATCCTAAGTTCAAAGAGAGAAAAATCTGTAAATATTGCTTCAAGAGTTATGAACATTGTCACATAAAATGTAATTGATGATAAGGAATAAGTATCTGAAGTTTGAGGTAGATACCTTTAAAAAAAAAAAAAGTTATAATAAAAAAATAACATTTTTCTAGTAAAAATCTAAGTTTATGGGAGATAATTCTTGCAATATTGGTGCTAGAGTTATGAACCTTGTAACATAAGATGTGGATGATAATAACGTAAATATATTTGAAGTATGAAGTTGATCCCTTTAGAAATAAATAAGTAACAGTAAAAAATAATATTTTTTATGGAAAATTCTAAGTTCAAAGGGAGATAAATCTGAAAATATTGGTGCTAGAGTTATGAACCTTGTCACATAGGATGGGGATGATGATAACGTAAATATATTTGAAGTATGAGGTTGATCCCTTAAGAAATAAAGAAGAAACAGTAAGAAATAGCATTTTTTGAGGAAAATTCTAAGTTCAAGGGGAGATAAATCTGAAAATATTGGTGCTAGAGTTATGAACCTTGTCACATAAGATGGGGATGATGATAAGGTACATATATTTGAAGTATGAGGTTGATCCCTTAAGAAATAAAGAAGTAACAGTAAAAAATAGTATTTTTTAAGGAAAATTCTAAGTTCAAGGGGAGATAAATCTAAAAATATTGGTGCTAGAGTTATGAACCTTGTCACATAAGATGTGGTTGATGATAAGGAACATATATTTGAAGTTTGAAGTTGATACCTTAAGAAATGACAAAGTTATAGTGAAAAATTTTTTACCGCATCAAAACTTTAATCTAAAATCTGGACGCGGACGCCGACGCCGGGGCGAGTAGGACAGCTCTCCATATACTTCGTATAGTCGAGCTAAAAATAAAAGTTCACCTAAAAATTAAACATTATTCACTTTGAAAAAGATTTAGTTGAACTAGACAGTAAAGTGTTCATCATAATATTATTACATTATAAATCATAGTGTCAGGCAGTTTAGTATTTCACTTTATACCCTGATATAAATGGAAGACCTGTTCCTACACGATTCTGATAGTCAACGTAATCTTCACCAAAAAAGTTGAGTAAGTAAATTTCCTCTTCAAAGATTCGCTCTCTAAAGAATCTCCAAGATACTATTGTATATCCTACCAGACATACTGGATTACACAGTATAACCTGTAATTCAAAAAAATAATATATCATAATATAGAACCAACAATAAATAATGTCTCAATAAAAATATTCAAATATTTAAAACAGAATATATATACTAAATGTACGATTTAGTGTCTTTTATGAAGTTTTATCTTGATAATATGTAATTATTTATTAGTATTAAAGTCTGGACAAAAAGAAACAAATGGTAAAAACATCAAAATAACAAGAAATGTCTAACAAAACATATGCCCCCTTTCTAGCCCTTGACTCACATTATTGGTAATTTTGTTATAGAAACTTGCCATAAATGGGTTCAATTATGGAAAAAAGAAAAATACTGAAGACTTTGTGATAAATAGTTTTCAAGATAATGAGCAGAAACTATTCTGACCTGTGACCTTGACCTTTGAACTAGTGACCCAAAATCAATAGGGGACATCTAATTAAATATTAGAAATATGAAGACTTTGTGATAAATAGCTTTCAAGATAATAAGCGGAAACCATACTAACATTCAAGATCCCTATGACCTTGACCTTTGACCTAGTGACCCAAAAATCAATAAAGGTCACTTACTAGTAATGACCTATCAGTATCTGAAATATGAAGACTTTGTGATAAATTGTTTTCAAGATAATAAGCGAAAACTATTCTGACATTTAAGGCCCCTTTGACCGTGACCTTTTAACAAATGGCCCCAAGAGCAATACAGGTCATCTGCTGGTTATGAAGACTTAGTGATAATAATCTTTCAAGATAATGAGCTGAAATCATACTACCATTCAAGGACCCTGTGACCCTGACCTTTGACCTTATGACCCCAAAATCAATAGGGGTCGTCTACTAGTTATGACCAAATAATATCTTAACCTAGTAAAATAATGACCATTCAAAATGTGAAATATAAAGACTTTATGATGAAAAGTAACAAACATATTAAGCGGAAATCATGCTACCATTCAAGGCCCCTGTGACCTTGACCTAGTGACCCCAAAATAAATATGGGTCATCTACATGTACTAGTTATGACCGATCAATATGTGAAATATGAAGACTTTGTGGTGAATTGTAACCCAGATAATTAGCGGAAACCATTCTGACATTTAAGGCCTTGTGACCTTGACATTTGACCTACATGTAGTGACCCGAAAATCAATAGGGGTTATCAACTACTTATGACCAATCACTATTGAAATATGAAGACTTTGTGATGACTTTTTTTCAAGATAATCAGCAGAAACCATTCTGACATTTAGGCCTCTGTGACCTTGACCTTTAACCTAGTGACCCAAGAATCGATAGGGGTCATCTACTAGTTAAGACCAATCACTATGTGAAATATGAAGACTTTGTGAGGAATACTTTTCAAGATAATCTGCAGAGACCATTCTGACATTTAAGGCCCCTGTGACCTTGACTGTTCATCTAGTGACCCCAAAATCAATAGGGGTCATTTACTAGTTATGACCAATCACTATGTGAAATATGAAGACTTTTAAATGAACAGTTTTCAAGATAATCAGCGGAACCATTCTGACATTTAAGGCCCCTGGGACCTTGACATTTGACCTAGTGACCCTAAAATCAATAGGATCATCTACTAGTTATGACCAATCACTAGAGGGGGGGGGGGGATAATTAAAACATACAATGTTGATATAAATTTATCACAAAGGTAGAACCATTTGCCAGCAGCAAACTAAATGTTTAAAGGTACATTAAAGGCACACTCTGCCTCAGAAATGTTTTACTTTTTAAGAAAGGACAAAGTATTTGTTTAATTATGTTTATTAATGTTTTATTGGTGGATTAAGAACAGTTAGATGTAAATCAGCTGAAGAAAGTAGTGTTGGATGTGAAATAATGTGTCATAAATGTTGCAAAATGTCAACAAAATTATATTTTTAACTATACCAATTGCGAAAAATCAAAAGGAACAAAAGATTGTTGATGTAAATAAACAATGAGTACTTTTTAGGGAAATGTAACAGGAGACCAAAACTAATAATTTCTTGATAAACAAGAGCGATCAGTGATGACATGTGTCGCCTCATGATGGCCAATTTCATGTTGGGACAAGTTTTGTGACAGACGGACAGACAGACGGACAGTGCATAACTAGACTTGGTACTGATCATTCCTGTAAAGTTTGGATAAAATTGCACCAGTTGTTTATGAGGAGTAGTCCGGACAAGCTTTTGTGTACCTGGCAACACACAGAAAAAAACACCTTTTTATCAAAGGGCCATAACTCGGCCAAAAATCATTCAATGGGAAAACTCGTGCAATATGCGCAAGGACTTGAGCTACAGATCAATTCTGTAAAGTTTCATTTAAATTGCATTTGTGGTATAAGAGAAGTAGTCCGGACAAACTTTAAAAATAAAAATTATTAAAGGGCCATAACTCTTACAAAAATCATTGAACGGGAAAATGCTGACAATATGCACAACTAGACTTGGTACTGACAGTGTTCAATCTAGAACAAATTCCCAGGGGGCCCTTCGGGCCCATTAACTTTTCAAAAGGGGGTCATTTGAGAAAAAAGGGGGCCAAACTTAAAATGAACATCAAATTCAAATAAGCTATTGTATCTTTTAAGTTACTTGTTCACGTACCATATTTAGACCAAAAACGGTTGCAAAATTCCAAAACAACTCAACTAAAAAAAAAGACATTAGCGTTGATACAGGCTCAAATTTAAGAACTGATTGGTAAAGAAACGCGATGACATAATGTTCAAAGAAAAATATGAATCTTACTTTAATGTTACCAGGGATATTTGATAATAATGTTCAGTTTTTTAATCAGGGTCCGATATATAAAGGAAAATCATATTTTGAAATTAGCTTTGTTTATGAAGAATATAAACTTACAATAGTCACTAAAAACATTTACTCTTCTCAATATATCCAAGCGAAAAACAAAGTGTCAACAGGTGCTAAGACAATGTATATTGACATACCGGTACCTTTGATCTTTTGTCAGGGCAGCAGTTCTTACGTCACGCTTAAGATGTCTGTATTGATTAATGATATGCACAATGTTTTAGCGCGACCAGCCAAAGACCAATCAAAGTTAATCTACTTAATTGTCAGACACTCCCTAGCCAATCGTGTTTGATTGCTCCATCTTTAAGACTTTTTTTAATTGGATGAAGGCGTGTTCGTAATAATTTATGCACACTTCTCTATCATTAACTCGCACTTTTCACAAATATATATATATTTTTTTCCTTTAAAGCTATTACATATGTATTTGTTTTGACCGTGAAAAAATTATAACTACACGCACGTATTGGATTATCTGTGACGATTTGTTTTGCTTATAAAAACTGTGACTCAAAAGTACGTAATAGTTACGGTACGAAGAACAAGTCTACATACATGTAGTATTTACAGACACAGACCGAGAGGGCGTAGCGATAAAGGTTTTAAATGGGTTACCGAGTGCAGTCTATCTTACCAACATGCTCTTGTTTTTCAATACAAACTTCAGTTTTGAATTAAGTATTTATTAATATTATTCACAAGAAACTTCTTTTATGTACTTAATCAGGTTTAAGAAAGCATTCTAATGTCATTTAGGGCATTTTCTATGAGTGCGCCCATCGGGCCCACAGTTGATTTTGTTTTGCGCCGGTGGCCTTTTCAGGGGGTCAATGGCGCAATGGCGCGCTCTAGATTGAACACTGTACTGATCATTCCTGTAAAGTTTGGATGAAATTGCACCAGTAGTTTATGGGGAGTAGTCTGGACAGACAGACAGACGATGGAGAAGTGATCCCTATATGTTGCCACTACTCTGTAGAGGCGACACAATAAAATTATAGCATTCTTGAGGCTTACTTGGACTTTAAAGTTGACATGTGTATTATATACATGTATATTTTATATGATATAATATATTACCTGTGTTCCTATACTCCACAAAAACCAGCCAACATAAGACGGATGTCTACATAGAGAGTATATACCATGTGTGACTAGCTGATGATCTCGCTGTTTTCTATACTGTACATAATGATTAAAGTTTGTAGATGCTGTAATCATACTGGCTTTACGTACAATCTCTCCAACAACTGTCAACAATAATCCAAACAAACTGATGTATCTAAATTGCTTCATACCTGAAATAATCCAAACAAACTGATGTATCTATACTGCTTCATACCTGAAATAATCCAAACAAACTGATGTATCTATACTGCTTCATACCTGAAATAATCCAAACAAACTGATGTATCTAAACAGCTTCATACCTGAAATAGTCCAAACAAACTGATGTATCTAAACTGCTTCATACCTGAAATAATCCAAACAAACTGATGTATCTATACTGCTTCATACCTGAAATAATCCAAACAAACTGATGTATCTAAACTGCTTCATACCTGAAATAATCCAAACAAACTGATGTATCTATACTGCTTCATACCTGAAATAATCCAAACAAACTGATGTATCTATACTGCTTCATACCTGAAATAATCCAAACAAACTGATGTATCTATACTGCTTCATACCTGAAATAATCCAAACAAACTGATGTATCTAAACTGCTTCATACATGAAATAATCCAAAAAAACTGATGTATCTATACTGCTTCATACATGAAATAGTCCAAACAAACTGATGTATCTAAACTGCTTCATACCTGAAATAATCCAAACAAACTGATGTATTGATACTGTTTCATACCTGAAATAATCCAAACAAACTGATGTATTTATACTGTTTCATACCTGAAATAATCCAAACAAACTGATGTATCTATACAGCTTCATACCTGAAATAGTCCAAACAAACGGATGTATCTAAACTGCTTCATACCTGAAATAGTCAAAATAAACTGACGTATCTATACTGCTTCATACCTGATGTTTATAGAAACAATGTATAAAAGTCTCCCACCAGAATGGGCATTGCATCATTTTAAATGGAATTTCAAATAATAATCAATAGTTTGTTGCTGATGAAATATAAATGTTTGTTATATAAAACAAATAATTCATATAGTGGATGTTATAAATAAAATTATCACATTTAATACATGTTTTTCCACAGTAAAATGTGCCTGATGACAAGTGGCATAAGAAAATCAGGACATAATTATCACATGAAAAAATGTAACAAAATTCATAAAATTTTACAGAAGATGTATTATTCAACAAGAGCAATGTGATTTCATGATTTGATGATGTCATGAATGAAAATATTGTAGTATAATATCATAATATTAAAATATTACATCTGGTGTTCACTCTGCGAAATATACATTTGTATTTTTAACAAATATCATCTATGTTGAAAAAAGTAAATTCCCAAAATCTTTAACACATTATAAAAAACTGACATATTTTAAAATGCACCTTGAATTGTGATCTGTTACATTTTAATAAAGTTTTGTTAGACCTTCACATGCAACAATAAATACTGTTACACATTATAGAAATATAAAAAATTAACTCCTGTGTATGAGTCAATAAATATACATTTAAGCAGTTTTTATACATAAAGGGAGTGAACTGAAAATTAATTAAGATGAAGTTATGGTTTTTCAGATGTGCACTCCAACTCACTGTTATCTATTTAGATTTTAGTTTCACCACATTACATTGTATATATTCTCTGAACAAGGAAAATACAGAGCATGTTATGTTGTGACCTCTGTGTCATTGGGGGATCATCAAAATAGTGTTAACTTGTGCCCAGTTATTTCAAAATCCCTTGATGAATTGTTGAAGTACTGATAAGTGGACATAGGAACAGTCACGTGACCCAAATGATATTAGGGGCCATTTCTATTGTTATTTTACTTTTGTATAATAAAAGAGGCTATTTGCACATTATTCTATTGTTAACGGAATGGACTCTATTGTCCTCCTTTGTTCTGTTTACAGTTTGATGGCCCCTTTTTATTTATTAATTTATAGTTTGTGGATGGACGTACATCACAGATGGACAGAGGGCAATTAACCGAGAGGTGGGGACTAATCAAAATAGCTTCATAGAAAATATTGGACAAACAAATCATATTACTTATCTACTTATTCAAACAAGGAATATGCTGAACATCTTTTTCACATTTTATTGTTACACATATCTTGTGTAATGTATATGAAAAAGTTTAATTTTCTTTCTTACCTGGGAATAAATACCATTCTAAAGTAAATTCTATCCAGCTAGCAACTGCAGCTATCTTATATTCTGTACTGTGATCTAAAAGGTATGACTCCAGTGTTAATGACCTTGGATTTGTCACAGCTGTAGTGTAATATTCCGACCAGTGAAAAATACTCAAACAAGTGAGGTACCACCCAAAATGCTGCCATTGCCATGTATGAAAATTAATGATCAATCCTAGACCACAAACTGAGCCAAGAAAACTTCCTCTTACAGCAATCTGAAATATAATAACACACATTGTCATAAACAGGTTGATATTATAAATGATGAGTGACATATAATAACAAACATTGTCAAAAACAGGTTGAAATCATAAATGATGAGTGGTTAACAGTGCCGCCCAGTAAATACCAACATGTGAAATCAAGATTGACTTGTTTCTCAAATTACATACATGCATTCTAAATATAAACACCCTACAAAGTTATTCTGCAGAAACTAATATTTTTACAGAAAAAAATCACAGAAAATTTGATTAAAAATGTTGGTAATACGTAGGGCTGTCATTGAATATTGCGATATCGATATATCATCAATATTCATCATCCAATACAATATAGATGCACACTTTCACATATCGATACAAGCCAAAAAAAATTTTTTATTTCTGTTGGTTAATATACCTCTCTATTTTGGCTTATAAGAGAAGTCACTTTTTTCTAGTTTTCTTGGCTAACTTGAACTTTTAACACGTTTTCAAATGTCAGTGACAAGAATAACAGGGAAAAAAAACTTCAGCTAGTTTGTTGTATTTGTAATGTGTAACAAGCATGCAAAATACCATTATCCTAATTCATAACACATATATAATTGATTTTCATTGTATCTACCGTCAAAGTCAATATATCAATTTATCGTCGATATTTGTCTCTGGATATATCGATACAAAATTTTCCATCAATGACTGCCCTAGTAATCTGGTATATACAAAGACATGTCAATGCGAATTTATATGGTAAATTATAATTAAAGCATTGTGCTGGACTTTATCCAATACTATATAGGGCAGTACTGTTAGTCAAAACTCCATGCCATACATTATAAAGTCCCATATGACCAGCTTTTATATGCTTGTATCCATACATCATCTGTAAAGGTAATATTTGAAAGATAACATGTTTATATTATGTAAGAATGTAATTTTAAGTGGACAGATTTATAAAGAGCTCATCTTAGAAGTATTTCAAGGGCATTCATTGGCCATGAAATCCTGAGGGTCATTTTGACTAAGTTTTACCGATTACAAGGTCAAATCCCCTTGATTTTAACAAAATTTGACCCTCCAGTTATGTAATATAATATATACAAAACTGAATCAGGGTCAGCTCAGCCCTAATACGTACTTGGCCCCAGGGAGTCAGCTCGGCCCTTTTCCAACTCGGCCAAATTTTCAATTGTAAATATCAATATAATTATTGGTTTGTTTAATCACTCAATATTGTCGAATAATTAATATATGGACTTATTCAAAAACGTGGAAAGATGTTTTCTTAAATTATTAAAATAATGAATAATGAAAGTTGCCGATTAATCAGGTGATAATTATGTTTGACTCAATCATTCAAATTTGATAAATAACCACCTGCAACTAATTAGAAGCTTATGATAATAAATCGGTACAAGTCAACCCGGCCCCAAGTCAACCCGGCCCCAAGTCAGCCCGGCCCCAAATTGGTCAACCCGGCCCCAAATCAATGTTATTTCTGGTCAACCCGGCCCCATTTTTTTATTATTTATTTTGCTTTAAAATATAAACACTTATCAAGAAATAAAATAAAAATTAACAACAAAAACAATATCAAAAGTTGAACGATGATATCTTTTATTATTTATTTAATATAAAAACTAGCAATATTAACAAACAAGCAACACATGCATAGTTAACTGTTTTTACCGTCGCGAAAGTAAGGTGACGTCTGTCTTTAACCTTAACCTCTCTATGATAGAAGTATTACGAAAAAACTAAACTTTTTTATTGACATATCATAGAAAAGAAACCTTAATGTGTTCAAATCATTACTATGTTATTGTATGTTAAAAAAAGAGAAAAAAATGACCAAAAGCACACTAAAGTGTTTCCATTAACAGTTTTTAAGTAAGATTAATTATAGAGATGCTGCAATCTATCACAGGTCACTGCCTCCTGTCTGTCACGCACAATATATCCACAATCACTACAGTTATCAGTCATAATGTCATAAAGTGATTAAACACTAATTAAACACTATCATTTTTTCAAACACTTAGTAATATTCCAATACTTTTTTTACATAGTAAATATTCTTTGAAAATAAGTTAATAAAAAACTAAACAAATATTAATTATACTGATGAACGTATTTAATAAAAACATTCAAATGAACTGAAAAAAAGATTGTTAAAAACTTAATTTATACAAACCTTTTAACTCGAAATTCTATGCATTTCTTCCTAATTATCGCATTAACACTCACGAAACCATCTTTAGTTTACATCGAATCATGGATTTATATATGTAATAGTGATCGAATAAAGACATGAAAGATACTATTTGTTTTTCACAGCTGTATACCTTTTTTGTTTATTCATTGCTTTAAACTGTTTGATTATCACATCTGAAATAATGTTGATGTACATATAATTGTTGATGTTATATAATTATTCATTATCACTATTGCGTATTAAAGTCTTAATTGGCGCAATTAAATTTACCGACACTTTTAAGCCAGTTCATGTTTTTTTACTATTGTTCTATAGTTAATAATATTTAATTAATAATAAATCATTTTTATTCCATCATACAACAAAATGACCTGAATAGTTTTCTTTGAAAATATATATTTTGGGGCCGGAATGACCGATTTTGGGGCCGCACTGACCAATTTTGGGGCCGCATTGACCAATTAAGAATACTGTGGGGCCGGATTGACCAACTTTGGGGCCGGGTTAACCAATTTTGAGGCCGGGTTGACTTGGGGCCGGGTTAACTTGGGGCCAGGTTGACTGTAATTCTAATAAATAAACACGTTATTTTAATTCATATTTTATGGAAGATTACTTAACAAACTTAACAAACAAAAAGTATAAAAGGAAACACATTTGTATAATATCAATTTTTAACGAATCTGCAAGAAAATCATGACGAATTTCTTCTAAATATACTTTAATTCTGCATTTCTAAGTACAATGTACAATTATATAAGAATAAACCAGATATCTTTTATTTTGTCATTGATAACATTTTTGGCCTTAACAACATGCAAGTAATCGAAAAAAATGTTAATACGTTTAATTTCTTTTTTTAAAGAGGGCCGAGTTGACCTGTGTCGAGTTGACTCTTTAACTTTCAAAATTATGTATAAATGTTTGATATTTTATGATCAATACATTTGCATCATAATAATATAAAATAAAATAATTATATTGATGATAAAAAACACCTATGTACTTAAAACATTAAGATAGAAGTAAATTTACTTTCGATACTGTTCAAGCTGTCAGACTGTGAAGATGCAGCGGAAATATCACTGTAAATGTAATATATCAGGGCTTGAGTTAGGGGGTGTAAATGTAATATAATTACATCTGTAAATGTTATATATCAGGGCTTGAGCTAGGGGGGTGTAAATGTAATATAATTACATCTATAAATGTAATATATCAGGGCTTGAGCTAGGGGGTGTAAATGTAATATAATTACATCTGTAAATGGTAATATATCAGGGCTTGAGCTAGGGGGTGTAAATGTAATATAATTACATCTGTAAATGTAATATATCAGGGCTTGAGCTAGGGGGTGTAAATGTAATATAATTACATCTGCTAAATGTAATATATCAGGGCTTGAGCTAGGGGTGTAAATGTAATATAATTACATCTGTAAATGTAATATATCAGGGCTTGAGCTAGGGGGTGTAAATGTAATATAATTACATCTGTAAATGTAATATATCAGGGCTTGAGCTTAGGGGGTGTAAATGTAATATAATTACATCTGTAAATGTAATAAATCAGGGATTTGAGCTAGGGGTTTGTAAATGTAATATAATTACATCTGTAAATGTAATATATCAGGGATTGAGCTAGGAGGTGTAAATGTAATATAATTACATCTGTAAATGTAATATCAGGGCTTGAGCTAGGGGGTGTAAATGTAATATAATTACATCTGTAAATGTAATATATCAGGGCTTGAGCTAGGGGGTGTAAATGTAATATAATTACATCTGTAAATGTAATATATCAGGGCTTGAGCTAGGGGGTGTAAATGTAAATTACTTACATCTGTAAATGTAAATTATCAGCGGCTTGAGCTAGGGGGTGTAAATGTTAATATAATTACATCTGTAAATGTAATATATCAGGGCTTGAGCTAGGGGATGTAAATGTAATATAATTACATCTGTAAATGTAATATATCAGGGCTTGAGCTAGGGGACGTCAATAATTACATTTGTACAACATCAGATTGATAAACAAACCACTTTAAAAAATAGTAGTTCTGGCTTCCATAACTTTATGTCGCTTTTATTTTGACGTTGCGACAGTAAAGTTATGGGTCAACCCTATTTGCAAAGGCTACCAGAATTTGGCAATTTGTGCGCCGTACATAAAAACCTATTAAAATCACACTTAGGGAAATATGTACTGTAGAGAATGTTTACCATTATGGAGTCTGCTTTCACATGAAATCTTGGGACTTCAAGTTTTGGAAATTCTAGCATCTTTTTTTAGTAATGGACCATACACTATTTATAGTAAGTGTTTGATTTTAAATAAAAACAAGCAAATAATTCATGGATCATCACACAAAACAATATAAATCCAACATGTTTTTTGTACAATGTCTGTTATTGAATAAATACACTGTTATTCATAATTGCAAAGACATGTTTTCAATTAAAAATAGCATTTGTGTCACGGGTCACCAAATGTCATGCAAAGATATCCGAACCTAAATTCTCGCTAGTCACATGATAATTAGAGTAGCAATGGCGGCGAATTTTATGTAAATTTAATGTGAACCCGCTGATAAACTTTGAGGCATTATTTCATCAATCTAACGTTCTGTGTTCAAAAATATAGACTGAAGTGTCCCAAATATATGTAAACTACCTGTATTAAAATAGCTTTTGTCCAGATCACCCAAATTTATTGAATTACAGCATGACATAAATATGTCACGGTTCTGGTTGACTTTCGATACGGGATTTGCTTCAGCGAACAGGTCTAGCACTACTATAAAACCTGTTTGCTGAAGTACCTTTAGCTAAAAAATAGCATCTTTTCATAAATTAAGTTCCCAAAAGAGTTCCTGTCACGGTCAATCACTCTAATTTGTTTTGGCTAGCAAGTATTATACAACCTGTGGGTTGCAGCTGGTAAGGCTAGTCACTTATATTTTTTTTTACAATTTTTGGCTGGTTTTTACTTGTAACTTGAGTTTAGCTAATAGCATGATGCAACTGGCATTTTCTTTATTTAAAAATATACTTATTTACTATATATGTAAGGTCAGATCTCTTGCCTATCTATTTTCATTAATCGACAGCACACAATATAAACTACATGTAAACTAGCTTAAGGTCTTCCGCGTACCCGTTTATATACTATGACATGACGTGAAAGCTGAAGGCAACCCCGTAGGGAAAGTCCACCAATAATCGGGCCAGGAATCTGACACGCTCGTATTCATTCATCGAACATGCCATGAAGTAAAGTGAAGCATACCTTGATAAAATTATATATAATCTTTTGATAAGCCAAGTATGGACGAATAAAAATCTTATTACCAACATAAACTACCTAATAGTTTCTGACAGGTAAAAATTTCGGCACTTGGCCGTCATATTGCCAAAATGTTTGACCACGTGATTACAAGATTGACCTTTATGAACCCATGTGCTTCCAATATTTTTATAAATTACTTTTTTTAAAGATATTGAAAAAGGTGATTTACTGACTTTTATATTCAATAAAATCATATTTAAGTATTAAAAAATTAATAAATATTAAATAAAAACATTATCTTGAATAAAAATATCGAAATCATGTCAACAAAGATGCTCTAAATATAGTACACGAATCTATTCTAATCGGTTCCCGCGAATGACGTCATACGAAGTCTCAAGTGGCACCTAAATGTCATGGCCGACTGTAGTCTGCGTAATTGATGTTTTACAGTCAAATAGGCAATTTTAATGACAGTATTAATATGCGGAAAGTCCGAGCTGGGCCAAAGGCCCCGCGAGGGCTCTAGCGCTCTTAGATAACATGTATGAACTATGATGCGTATCAATTCAAATGAAATCAAATTCAAAAGTAAATGAAAATTTCAAAAAAATATATATCCTATACCTAATGAGCTATGAAAAAATCCTTAGTTAACAGGACGCCGCCATTTTAAAATCCTTTTGAGCTAAATATAGATATCACAGCGCTTTTAATGAGGCCAAAATAAAAAATATGTCTGGTTCAGGGAACCCGACCGACCCTATTTTTTTACCGCCGACCCTAAACTTTTTTTTTGATTTTCGGTACGAACATTTTTGGGTACGAAAATTACAAATGTGAAAATTTTGTTTTACGATGCCTGTTGAAATAGCCGATGAGTAACAATCTTAAAATAATCAAAAAATATTTAATCTTTTATGATCAAAATCAACAACAAGTAGAATTGTGAATGTTTCTGCAGGAAACAGACAAATTTTCAATTGTCACATATTTTCGCGATGCCGCTTTTTATAATTAAAAAAATCGTAGCCAAAAGGAAGATATGTTCTGTTAAAATGTGTTTAATAACACTTAAAATATATTTAAGAATTAAATTAATTATTAATAGTTGAGATGGAGCCATTACCAGTATGTGTTTGTAACAATAATGAATATTTTCTTTTTTAAGGGAGGGGGGTGTAAGGTCTGATGATGTATGGGTTTTGAATTATATTTCAAATCTTTTCAATCACTTTTATGGTACATTTTTTTCCATTTGGGACATATTACCATTTTCCTGAATAAGCCTTTTCTCTGTTCAAACTCTGACTCCCCAACCCCTTACTCTGCTATACATGTATCATATTTGTCAATTTAACTGCATATAAGTGCAGCAAAGATGGCTTAACATATTCAATGTGATCTGGAACTCCTACTTTTTTGTGCTTGGGAGTCTCAAGACTCCTTCTCTGTGAGAACCCTGCAACTGTTGGTACCAGTTGCACATAATTATATATCTATAGACTTGTGCCCCCTGAAGACCATTTAAATATGTTTATTAATATTAAAATTATATATACAGTAGATGTGTTATTTTGATCCCCGGAATAGTGCATGTCAGATGCTCTAAGCTTATAATACAGCATTATTATTATATTGTTACAGAGGTGACCCTTGATCTTTTAATTGTCAGACCTGTCAGATGCAGGTTATAATAGTACAGCGGGTGATTCAAAGGGAAAAGGTACATAATAAGCAGAATAGAAAGCAAATTAGTATGAATACAGGTGCTACATGGTTTAATGACTACATACAAGAAATAAACAACACAATATCACATGTTGATGGTTTATTACAAAATGGTGTATGCATTGATTGATTACAATCTTTGTTTAAGTATGTTAAGCAAGCAACACCACATCTATATATGGAAATTAAGACATTCTCCCAACCATAAAAAAAAAAAAAAAAAAAAAAAAAAAAAAATCCCTACCCTCCTGATTTTTTGGACCAATGTTTCCTGAACCAGACATATTTTTTTTTTTGGCCCGAGCATCTACATAATTCAGACAATTGCTAGCAGACGCATGCTTAATAACACTTCCGGTGAAAGAATGATGTACAACATCAGAAAATAAACATTCATTTCATTCATAAGATCTATAGTAACGATGTTAAATGTTAACAGTTACTTTTAAATCCTTTTTGATAAATAAGCACATTAAAAATGACGTAAAAACAACATATGTGATTAGAGATTTACAGAAAATGGCGGACGGGATTTTCCAAACGCTGACGCATGCGCAGTGGTCCCTCTCCCGATGATAGGTTGAACACCACCAATTTATTCTGTTTCTGTTTACGGTACAAAATACCTGCATTTACTTATTAACGAATTGCATGATAGATCTGGTAAACATGTACACTAAACATGTTATGCTTAAATCATAATTATAAGAGCTTTCCGCGCCTAATTTCATATTATTTTGATACTTTAATTGGTATAGAACAATGTTAAAATAATTGTTTTATCGTAGAACGCACAAGAATTGATTGGGTCAAGTGTATTTGCAAGTGAAAAATAAGGTTAAATCAACTTATGTTATTCTGGTTAGGTTTCGTAGCGGGTCTAATCCAAAACTTTAATGCCGCATCAGATGAAAAACAAAAATGCTAAATAGAGGCTTATAAAGTTTTGGAAGCCAGAACTACATGTAAACATGTCCGTCCATTTCTTCATACCCCACCCACTATTTTACCTTGTAGGCGTCCTTAGAGTTGAAATAAATCCAGACGACACAGTTTATCAGGACCACGTAAACTATATAAATACATATCCACCATTCCTTCCATAAATTGAGCAAAGTCTCACATGAACTAAAAAGAATATAAAGGAGAAGAGATGTCAATCCAAGTAAAAAACTCGAAAGTGAAATATCTTCAGGTGCGGACGGCGCCATGTTGATTTTTACCATACCATTCATTTTATTAGCGTTGTCGTCTTTGCTGCGACAATATTCGTACCACGCCGGTTTGACTAAAGATTTAGAGTCTTTCGAGTATTTGATAAATTATCAGAGAGTTTAAGACATATCTTAAAAAACAACAACAAAAAACTTGCGAGAGAATTACAGAAATTGACACTAGGATAATAATATAGGCCTATTATTATTATGAAATATCCACGAAGTTGAAGTTTATCTTAACACAGTCATAATTATATATAATATATTCATTACTTATTGCCAAATAACGATGATATACATGTACAGTGAGAAAAATAGCAGTGAACAATACATGCACAGTTTTCTGAAGAATTGAAGTTAATAAAGGAACAAATAATTTAAGACTTGTACTTGTCAATAATATAGTTTTACAGAAAAACAACATATTAAGAGATACGTTTATGATTTGCCCAATATAAATATTTAGCTATGGCACATATATATTTTTCTTTGAGTCTGAATGCTATCAAATTTATTCATAGTCGGCCAATGGCAGTATTATATACATTGTATGGTTTAAGATATTTTGGTGTATCAATAACATTTATTACAAAACAGAACATATCTTTATACTTAAATAAAATTACCTAACTATCTGATAGTAGGATTAACAACACGCACGAAAAAGAATGTGCCTTTAAAGTGATTGGAAACGTAGTATATAATCTGTATAACGCCTGTCTTTAACCAGGCCTACGCGTCATAATCGTGCCAAGAGCTATTAAATAAAATACAAATTTTTCAAATGTCGATTTTTTTTCTATTGTGTATAGTCACATATGAAATATATACATGTATATCCACGGACTGTAAATACAGTACTTAAAGTCCGTGATAAAATATAATATCCAACTTCATGCGTTTGGTTTCTAGTATTATATAAATATGTAAAAAATCTGGAACTCGGTAAGTTAAATTTTGTTTTGATATACAGCTACTCGTGGGAGATTCAATACAAAGCTTTATACATCTAATGATTTAATGATATTTGTATATATGTATATTAATTAAGCTGCTTTTTTATCTTTTCAAACGCTATATGTGCGCTGCAAATATTATTGTATGAATTTTTTTATTTATTTTCTATTTATTTCCATTCTTATAAATGTAAACATATGTTTAATGATGTTTTAATAACGAATTTTAGATGTTTACAACTGAAGAAAGTAGCGCTAAATGTGCAGTTAATAAGCAAAATAGTATGTGACATCCATATTAAATACTAACGTCAATTTGGTAGGTAGTTGGATATTCGAATAACCAACTACCAACTAGCTGGTTGTTGGTTAATCGTAATTCCTAATAATTGAACTGCTGGTAATTGGTAGTTCAAATCACTATAAACAGCATGAAATGTTCAATCACTTCATACATTTTAAACACAGAAAAAATGAGGGGGCATATTCCCCACTAACTGCTATCTTAAAGGTAGTTGGTAATTCGAACTTTGAATGCTTTACCCTAAAAACAGTTAGCACTTTTGTGGAATAAATATTACGGATATATATAGCAAGATAGATGTGTTATTCAATATTGAAACACCCTCTCTCCCTATGTCCACCAGGAGAATCAGATGATAATTCTCGCGAATCCTACCTTCTACATGGTAGTTGGAAATTCGGATACTGTATATATTCCTTTGAAAACAAAAGTATTTTTTGTGAGTTATATAACAAGATAATATGGAAACGAGTTTAGGACAAAAGCCCCCCCCCCCCCTGGACAAAAGTCCCCTATCAAAAAATGACAAGGTGGACAAAAGCCCCCTCCCCAATGAAATTTACACATAGGACAAATGCCCCCCCCCCCCCCCCCCCCAGTCCATCAAACAACCTTAACAATAGCTGGGAATAATCAGTTTGTTCTTTACTTCTTTTCAAAAGATATTTTTATGTAAAAGTTGAGAATGAGGGTTTCATTTTGAACAAATTAATTGAAAAGATATCATAATAAATAAATAAAATATCCAAATTTATTGAAAAAAAAGGCATAATTTTAACTATAATGCAAAATATGTTTTTTACATGTAAACCCGGGGGGGGGACTTTTGTCCTACTTGTATTGTTTATGGGGGTGGGGGCTTTTTTCCTACGTGTAAATTTTAAGGTGGGGGACTTTGGTCCACCTTGTCATTTCTAGATGGGGGGGGGGGGCTTGTCCGGGGTGTGGGTTGTCCGTATCTCTATGGTAACATCACCTTCACCATAAACTACCAACTACCAAGTACCTACCAAATTGACGTTCGTACCAAATTTTTGAGAAAATGCATTTGATAGCATTATTAGGCATCATTGACCTTTAATTAGTTTTTCTCTTCAGTTTTTCTTTTTAATATAATACGCTGGCCTCTGGTGGGATGGATGTGTTATGTGTTCACTTTCCTTTACAATAACGTTTGCCCGCAAATTAGGAACTATTTTATGCTCAACAATAAGTCTTGATTAATTAGAGATCAGTTTGATTTTTGTTGGATTTATTTTCCTGACTTCTTTACCAATTAATGATTGACTTTTGACATAATTAACCCATCTAGATAAGCGGTGGGGGAGTAATATATATGGAAAGACAGAAATCGCGCCTAAGACTAAATTTTTCAAATCCCGCTTCCCGAGACAACGGGCCATTTGTTTCAACAGGACACATATGTAAATATCATTTTATTTTACATATTTTGTGTCAAATATTTATCTGTTAGTAGAATTCTATATCTGGCGAGGTCTGGTATGTACATATATATTTGTTGATTTATTCCACACCTTATAAAAAAATCAACATTGAACTTCTTGCGTTTGAGTCACGTTTTATGCCAAAGAAAATCATTGTCGGATCTTATCATTTTAGCCTCGTTTCAATTTCCGCAATCCAAAAACCCTTATCAAATGCTTATCATACCTCACATAGACTCGCGTTTATATTTAGAATACAAAATATCTATATCAAATACATATCGTACTCCATCCAGCCTTACATGTAATTTCATTTTCAGGATTAAAATATCAATTCTTTTTTGTACTAGAAGTAAAACAGTTCTGGCAAAATATGAAGAAGAAAAAACAATGAAATTTATAGAGGTCATCATACATTGTTGAGAACAATACTGATATCTATATATTGGACTCGTATACAGCTGCAAAACCTATATCAGACTCGGCTCTCAGTATTGTACTCATCAATGTATAATATCCGCATGATATATAACAATGTAATAATGTGTAGGTATTTTATCACATCATCAGGTAGAATATTCTATGACTTCTGTATGTCACTATAGGCTTGAATCCCACCCTTGATTTATTGAATATATAGTAGCCATCCTCGAAACAGACTGAACTTATCGAAGTCTTATTTGAATAATCATTAGTAAGGCACTTCAACATAATGTAGATATCTCCCGGAACAGTATCATAATCTTATATACATGTTGGTGTTAGAAAACTGGACAACAGTTGACAACAACAGACGTTTTATAATTATACATGTAGCGCAATATCGGAGGACATTTTAATATCTATCTTCTTTTGTGATACACTTTACTTAACAGAAGTAAATTATTTATAGCGTGCCACTGCCGAACAAGCTAGAGATATCAGACATTCATTCTTAGATAACAACACTGAAATAGCATCAATAAAGACCTCCACATTGTATCTATATTGTTCAGTTAACATAAAACAGCTGAATCTATGAAATACTGACAATCTTGGAAGCTCCAACATGTAAAAAGCTATCCACATGATTATATATAAGTCTTTATCTAGACGGATTACAAACAAATCAACAACATTTCTTTCTTCAAGATTGTAGTTCTCTGCCAATTAAAAACAAAGTCAAATATATTGCTTATACATCGAACACTTTTAGGTTGACTTATAAAATAAACAAAATAGCCAAATAATTAGAACAATTTAGTCTAAGACTCATAACAGCAGTTAGGTTGGCTGCTTGGTAAATTACGATCTGCACAGGATAATAAAAACTTAACGAACTCTATATTAATTTCAGTGAGCTCTTAAGTATGATATAACTCATTTAACAACTATTAATGAATATATACAGAATTTTATGTTGTAGTAGCTTGCTGAGGCTATGTATTTTTCTACGAGCAGCGGTGGAAAATTGATATCTCGCGAGACCGAAGATCGAGCGAGATATCAATTTTCCAACGTTGCGAGTAGAAAAATACCCAGCCTCAGAAAGCTACTGCAACATAATTTTCCTTTTATTATATACATTTTCGTTTTATTCAGAAAATGAAATGTTGCTGTCAAGAAATAAATTCATGACTAACGGATGAATACGTATTTTTTTTGCAAAACCGGCAGGGGGGGGGGGGGGGGGCATAATTTTAAGAGGTGTAACGGTTCATCAATTAATTGTAACATTGTGATTGGCCTCGACGTCACTATACATTAACAAACGTTTAGATCCTTTATGACACGAAAAATTGGGTGTTAAATCAGTTGAATGTGTTTGTGAATCCCTTAGGTTCAAATGATCTGCCACCAGGGGATTCTTAAGCTTTTCTTTAAATAGTACCTATTTTATTTTTGATATAACGGGAATTCTTTTTGATGTCAGGAAACAATAACTTTAATCCGTCTCTTTGAAAAGGTATACAAACACGTGTTACAATTTCTAAAATTATTTTGCTTAAATTTATTTGATGAAAATAGCAGCATATATTATGACACAAACAACATAAACAATACATACTAGTATTATCCGTATAAATATAAGATCTACTCGTGACAAATATCAAGATACATGTGTACACGGTGCCAATACCACGTGACTTTATGTGATCTGCGTGAGGCAATACAAAATACGGTTCAATTAGTATTTTCTTTAAAATCTGTCAGAACTTTATATGTTTTTTTTAAAGAAAAGCTGTTTTTTCTTTCGTAAAGTGAAACTGCGTGTTTGAACATTCAGAAATTCACGCCGTTTTACTTTACTAAACAAATACTGATTTTTCTTAAGAAACAGAACAGAACATATACTTTATTTAGAATGACACAGATTACAATCTACAAGTATAATGTAATAACATGTGAGCAAAGTCAGTAAACAAAATCAAATCAAATGAATATGAACAAATGACAGTTATATCATGGAATGCAAATAATCTTTGAAGTTATTATTGTTATATGGGCATTGCAGTTAATAGTTTTATCAAATTGTTAAAGCATACGAAAACATGTATAGAGATTCGCACGAAAATTTCCCTTTTTTTTGGTAAATGGTAATAGACACGGGTTACTTGCTAAAATGAGCGGCTTCTACACTTTAACCCGAGTAAAATAATTTAACATTTACAAAGTTATAGAAGAAAATACTACCGTCATCCTATTTGTATTGGTTTCCGGTCACATATATAGATCACAGACTGTCACGTGGTATAAACATCGTGCGTTTATAAAAAGAAGAATATAGGAATATTCTGGACAAATATTTGGTAGAAGAAGAAGTTTAACTAAGGGTATTATTTTCAGATTGAAGTTCTCAGACATTTTTGTTATAACAATAAAGAAAAAGCGTTTTCATTGTGAATATAATATAACGTATATCGAAATTGTATTTAATATTTAAGATATTCTGATCTCAGTGAACCACATATGGAGTTCGCCAGCTATAGTCAAAGTCTCGTTCAATTTAATCAAATGTAAAAAGTTATATGATGTTCTATGAATGGGAAATTCTATATGTCACATGATCTATATCTGTATCATTATCGTGAATGTAACATTATCGTGAATGTATCGTTATCGTGAATGTATCATTATCGTGAATGTATTATAATGTTCTAATAGTTACACGAACATACTCGAGGAGGGCAAAATCCAAAACGACAATTTGTGTTACACCATTTTGCCATGAATGGATTATGAGCGAAACTAATCGACGCCGTACATAACATAATCTTTGGTTTAATCACTTCCTGTGATGGTAAATGAACAATCTTATCTGGATCTAAAGTCGACCTAAAGTCTAAACCCTTTGTTGTCATAAAATTGGTCAAATGTCTGTTTCCAATGTTGTGTTGTACACCGTACAATGGTAGGAAGCTACTCTCTTGTAAAGCTTTGGTTGACTTTCTATCATCATGAAAAATTGGCAAGTGATTTTCTGAATGTTTAAACACTTGCATTTTTCCTAGTCGAGGTATATTTGTCTGTCTCCCCTCAGATTCAGGATATACGTTATGCCCTCTGAAATCTTTTTCTATCACATCTGCTGGGAAATTTTCAACTAGTCTGTTTTTCGATATAAGCTCTCGTGCAAAATTCTTCAAATGATTTCTATCTAATTTGTGCTGCTTTATTTGGTAGGTTTGTCTATTTTCTGCCCTAGAATTAGTATTTTGTGAACAAGAACATAGAATATCAGGACATACTGTTAAATCATGCGAACACACTTTAATACAAAACTCATTGACGATTGGGTTTTTCTCATACTTTACTGTTGGTCTACAGCGAAAGGCTTTACTTTTATCTTTAGGTCCGTAATAACTAAACAATGCATTTAATGTTAATTCTTCCAGAAAATGTCTTAAAGTCGCCATATGTTTATTATGTCTGTGACTCAAGGTGCGCCGTGTATGGGATTCTATAACCACTTTTGTATCTTTGACAAGATTGCTTGTTTGATAGTTTGCTGGTACAGTCGGCTTGATACTCCAAATTACCGTATGTGATTTTTTGAAAGCCCCGAGATGGTTTTGTCCCTCTCCAGATTTTGTTTTCAAGTCGGGCTCATTGTAAATTATTTTTGACACATCTTGTATGGAAATATCCGAGCAGCCATAAAATTCTTCTTGCGGACCTATGCCTTTCCCGCATATCAAATTTGAGTCGCAACCCCAGCGAGTACCTGAATGATAAATGATATTCAAAGTACTTTACAATAATAAATCGTTGAGACAAATAAGTGATTTCTATTTTCATATATTTTATCTCAAATATAATAATTAACCTGCATATACATATACGAATACGTATAATGGACACTGTAACTGGCTCAGAACACTTAGAATTATTTGTTGAACATGTTTACTAATTACGACAAGAGTACTAGAAACACACGCTTTTCTCAAAATAACTATAAAACTTAAGAGAATACAACTGACAAGAGAAAAAAGAATGTACATATGTCGGGTTTTTTTTATATATGAAAGTGATAGAATAAATACAGGCCATAAGTCAATGTACTTGAGTCATACAGAATAAATCAACAAATTAAATATCTGAGATATGTACATAATGAAAATAATTTTTAATTAGAACCAATTCCGCTTTATTTATCAGAACTAAAGATGCGAACAATTTTACCAAAACAACAATTGACTTTAATACAGACTTTAGCATGAAATCTTAATAACTTACTTATATTAAAAAAGAGAAAAAAAGGTGTTTATCAATTTATTCACCAAACCTCAAAACTTTAAAAACATTCAAACTGATTTATAAATTCCAGTTCATAAAGACATTATTTGCAACACAACACGAGCATTTATTTATATTTTCAAGAAAATTAGATTAATGGCATAAATCAAAATAACAAGACATATACCAAATACATCAAGTTAACTGACTTACCAAATAAACCAAGGTCAGTAGAGATACCCAATAAATCAAGATAAATAGACAAACAAAATTAATAAAAAAACTAGACATACCAAATAAATCCAAGTAACTAGACATACAAAATAAATCAAGATAACAAGATATATAGAAAAAAAACCAACAAGATAACTAGATATAGGAAATAGATCACGATAACTGGAAATAACAAATTAATTAAGGTAAAATTAATTAATTAGATAAACCAAATAAATCAAGATAACTAGACATACTGAATAAAATAAGATAACTAGACATATAGAATAAATCAAGATAACTTGAGATATGAGTAAAACTACGGAAGCGTATCAGGGCCTACAGTTGGTGAGATGTTTTGCGCTAAGTCAACTTATTTTTATTCGCAATGATAAGATGTTTTTGCATTTCTCAATAAAATTTACTGATAAAGATGAGAAACTTTTAGGCATTGCAACTGAATTTTTCTCGATATGCTTAAAGTTTTTGTCTCTTCGACAAAAATCCTATCGACACTTCTTGATTTCACGACTTTGCTGTAATATTTAGTATGACGCAAAGACGTTACTCACATTGATAAAAAGCTCACGTAATTAAACAAAGTTTTTTTGAAATGATTAAAAACTTCTACGTATTACGTATTAATCATAACGTCTTCATGGAATGTGTTATGTTTTACGTATTAATCATAACGTCTTCATGAAATGATTTTGGTCAAAACGAGAAGAAACAAGTTGACATGACGTGAAACTTTCAGATAAGTGGAGGCCCTGATAAGCTTCCGTATAAATCAATGTTACTAAACATACTGAATAAAACATGATAACAAGACAACCCAAATAAATGTAGGTAACTAGACATACCGAATAAATGTAGGTAACTAGACATACCGAATAAATGTAGGTAACTAGACATACCGAATAAATGTAGGTAACTAGACATACCGAATAAATGTAGGTAACTAGACATACCGAATAAATGTAGGTAACTAGACATACCGAATAAATGTAGGTTACTAGACATACCGAATAAATGTAGGTAACTAGACATACCGAATAAATAAAAATAAATGAAAGCAAACAACAATAAATTGTATGTACCTGTATGATATTTCCATTGTAGTACACAATGTTTACAGAGAAAGTTTCGTGGAAGTTTTAGTGTCATGTCAATAAATCCATCTAGCTTCTGATCCCGGATGTAAAATCTATACCCGTTGTCTTCTGAAATGTTTATACATGTATTGACATAAATGATCTTATATAATTTTCAAATTTTTTATTGGCATAATTATTAATGAAGATTCTATAAAGAACTTTGTCTTGTTGCGAATAATGTTATATGAATGCCCTCTGATAATTTATGTCGTTACTGCTGCAACTAATTCGGATAGTTTGCTACCACCATGTACCAATTATCCACATGTGCAACAAAACAAAGGTCCAGAAAATACAGGGTCATATTGACATATAGGAAGTTTATTATATAATCCCTTATATTACCAAATTTGTAAAGACCAGTGTTTGGTAATTAACTACATAGTCGTATTTAATTTCATACAATGGTTTTGTTACACACATTTTTAAGTTTACTTCCGATTTATCACAAATTATAATAAACAAATTAACTCATGTTCGGGAGTTGAAAACGGTAAAATATCGTATTTTTACTATTTGTCAACGTCTGAAATTAACTATTAATTCCTGTTTAACCTGGATTGTGAAATATGCTTTTTCAACATATTATATAAAACTTCCGGTGCCAAACTAGATCTATACGATTGTCATGTTAGGAAACAATAGAAGATCCTTAAAGCTACTGCTTGAATTACAAAAAGAAAAAAAGAAGAAAAAAATAGATCTAATTCTAAGATTTTCTTTAAAAGAAAAGATGTTAAGAAATAGCTTGTTAGAAATAAATTTACCTCCATTTATTATTTTCAACTGATGTTTGTCCATGCAATATTGTGACTCGCCAGTTGCTGGGTCAAGTATAGGACATAATCTGAATTCAAAATATCCCATATGATTGGCTGTCAAACCTATTGTGACGTCAATTGTTCCACCAATCGGATAGGTTCTTGTGACGATACCAGAAGCATATTTCCCGCCAATTTCGTTATCACGTGGGTATTGTTGATATGGGTCTCCACACACACCACACAGTCCACCATATTTTATCCATTGATTCTTAAAATGATAAACGTGAAACAAACAATATATAAACTCATTGTAAATAATTTAGATATTTGCATAATAACAAATAGGTGCTTTTGGATATCTAAGTTAAAGGGCATATATAATATGAACGATTTTCATTATAAGAAGATAAACGATATTTTCACGAACAGCGGAAATAGCTTCAGCTTCTGCTGTTTATAAGATTAACCATTTACTTGCTGATATTTCAACGTATTTATTTTGCAACCCAATTTGTAAGCCTTATTTCTTGGTATGACATTGGCATGCTCAATTATTTTATTTTATTTACCACATCGTATAATATAACGATTTATATTACATGTACATTGTTCTATATATTACATATATGCTCCATTTTTGATATGATATAATTTAAAGCTCATTATGTCACAGAAACGTTTTGGTTTATTTCTTAAAAAACTTTTTAATCTTAGTCTCATGTAATAGTTTCAAAAATGTTACTAATTGACCAATTATCTCAACCATCTTTTGCTTCTGTTCCCTTTTGGCACTAAGTACAGTAACATTGTTTTAGTATCTTTTATGGAATAGATAAATACAGAATCCCTAAAGAAGGCCCAACACGGCTAAATTGAAAATGTTGTAGGCTCGGTTTGATTGAGCCTGTTCATGGACGGTACTGGAAAGTGCAAGTTACCGTCCACGCCCCTTAGCACCGGCTTAAGCAGAATTTAACATTTAAACATGAAATAGTAAAATTTTGAATTTAGAAACATCCGCAGAAGTCAAAATACTACTTTGTTAACATTCCATTACTTTAATTACTAATATCTTCACATTCAGTGCTACTTTCTTCTAAAAAAAGTGAGTTTAACGATTTCCGTTTCAATATACTTTTGGTTCAAGCAGGTGATGGGTGCAAATCGATAATTAGCTAATAATATCATTTTATTCTGTTTCCGAGAAGCCGTGTTCAGTTTTATGAACCTTTATAAAAAGGTGAGAAGGTAAGTGGTAGAAATGTAAGACAGATATATACAAGGTGAGAAGGTAAGACAGAAATGTACAAGATGAGAAGGTAAGACAGAAACGTACAAGGTGAGAAGGTAAGACAGAAATGTACAAGGTGAGAAGGTAAGACAGAAATGTACAAGGTGAGAAGGTAAGACCGAAATGTACAAGATGAGAAGGTAAGACAGAAACGTACAAGGTGAGAAGGTAAGACAAAAATGTACAAGGTGAGAAGGTAAGACAGAAATGTACAAGGTGAGAAAGTAAGACAGAAATGTACACAGTAAGAAAGTAAGACAGAAATGTACAAAGTGAGAAGGTATGACAGAAATGTACAAGGTAATAAGGTAAGACAGAAATGTACAAGATAATAAGGTAAGATAGAAATGTACAAGATGAGAAGGTAAGACAGAAATGTACAAGGTGAGAAGGTAAGACATAAATGTACAAAGTGAGAAGATAAGACAGAAATGTACAAGGTGAGAAAGTAAGACAGAAATGTACAAGGTGAGAAGGTAAGACAGAAATGTACACAGTAAGAAAGTAAGACAGAAATGTACAAAGTGAGAAGGTAAGACAGAAATGTACAAAGTGAGAAGGTAAGACAGAAATGTACACAGTAAGAAAGTAAGACAGAAATGTACAAAGTGAGAAGGTAAGACAGAAATGTACAAAGTGAGAAGGTAAGACAGAAATGTACACAGTAAGAAAGTAAGACAGAAATGTACAAATTGAGAAGGTAAGACAGAAATGTACAAGGTGAGAAGGTAAAACAGAAATGTATACAGTAAGAAAGTAAGACAGAAATGTACAAAGTGAGAAGGTAAGACAGAAATGTACAAGGTGAGAAGGTAAAACAGAAATGTACAAGGTGAGAAGGTAAAACAGAAATGTACACAGTAAGAAAGTAAGACAGAAATGTACAAAGTGAGAAGGTAAGACAGAAATGTACAAGGTGAGAATGTAAAACAGAAATATACACAGTAAGAAAGTAAGACAGAAATGTACAAAGTGAGAAGGTAAGACAGAAATGTACAAGATGAGAAGGTAAGAGAGAAATGTACAAGGTGATAAGTTAAGACAGAAATATACAAGATGAGAAAGTAAGACAGAAATGTACAAGATGAGAAAGTAATACAGAAACGTACAAAATGATAAGGTAAGACAGAAATGTACACAGTAAGAAAGTAAGACAGAAATGTACAAGGTGAGAAGGTAAAACAGAAACGTAAAGGATGAGAAGGTAAGACAGAAATGTACAAAGTGAAATGGTAAGACAGAAATGTACAAGGTGAGAAGGTAAGACAGAAATGTACACAGTAAGAAAGTAAGACAGAAATGTACAAAGTAAGAAGGTAAGACAGAAATGTACAAGGTGAGAAGGTAAAACAGAAATGTACACAGTAAGAAAGTAAGACAGAAATGTACAAAGTGAGAAGGTAAGACAGAAATGTACAAGGTGAGAAGGTAAAACAGAAACGTAAAGGATGAGAAGGTAAGACAGAAATGTACAAAGTGAAATGGTAAGACAGAAATGTACAAGGTGAGAAGGTAAGACAGAAATGTCATAACTGATAATTTGTGTCACGTTTATTTATATAAAAAACTAAAAAGAGTAAAAAACAATATAAACAGTTCATATAGAAAATAGTGTAGATAAATATAGGCTTATGCATGTATGAGTGGAAATGATCATTATTTTTTCCACATGTACCATGTTCATCATGTATTTACAATGTTTTGCTTTTTTCAAGACCAGTGTGAGCTAGGTTTTTTATGTGTTACTAAAGGCTATGTATGTGTTATAGTTTTATTTTCTTCTTTGTTAAAATACTGATTTCCGCAACAATAACAATGAATGTGAAGAAACTTTCATGACTTGACTGTGTTCTTAATCCTTAAGTACCTTAAAATTCTGTTTGAAACATACCACTCGATTATTATTCAACACTTAACCCTACCATGTTTTTACAGACAATGCACCATACCATATTTTACCAACAAAGCACCACACCACCATACCATGTTATTTTTTACCGAAAATGAACCATGTTATTTTTTACCGAAAATGAACCATGTTATTTTTTACCGAAAATGAACCATGTTATTTTTTACCGAAAATGAACCATACCATGTTTTTACCGACAATGTACCATGCCATATTTTATAGACAATGCATCATGCGTTTCAGTAATCAACATTAAACCTTAACACTAAAGTCTTCTAACACCAGGCATTCTCTTTAACGTGTTGACGAACAATAAACCTTATCACTAATCAAACTACACTGGTTCCTATTTCACGTTACCAAACGTAGACCCTCAACTATAATTGTATTATAGAGAATTTTATGCCCTTAAAATAAGCTTGAAGATACCATAACATGAACTTTGCTCTTCACCGTTTTGTAGTCAGTTGGAGAAGATTATAATAATAGTCCAGTCAATTTGTGAAAAAATACTTCAGAAAATGGGAAAAGCACCAAACTTGGTACAAATGAACTTTGATATATGTAAGAAAAATTGAGCATGGGACCCATTTTTTAAAATCCAATATGGCGGGAAAAATCCAAAATGGCCGCCATACGTGTTAAAAATTTCAAAAACGCTTGTTTTTACTAAGAGAACTTGATAAATAGCTGCATATTAGGGTATTGTAATCAGAAAAATAGTTGTTATTAGTATTTAAACATTGCTTTGTCTTTTTAAAGCTATTACACTTAACATATTTTATTATTTCTGTTTGTCATTAGTTTTCACGACCCTGGAAATCAGATGAAATAAAATATTGTAGAGGTCTGTCATCGCTGTCTCCTAAAGATGTTAAGACATCATTTTTTACAACATTTCTTTTTGTTTACAATGTTAATTTATCACAAGGAAATACTTATCAAACAGATTAAACAAAAGTATTTAAAACTTCTAGCATAACTCAAGCAAACGAAAATTAAATATCTGCCCATCAAGTCAGGTGTACGCCTTGCAATTTTATCTTGTTGATCGCTGTGAAAGGGATTAAGCAAAGAATGTGTGAATAACAGAATTATAAGCTAACATGTGTTAAATTTTAACAGTCATTTGGTATTTGAATTGTCATATCAAAAAAAGAAAAAGAAACTTTATAAAAGTGCATTTTTTTAGAATATGTGAAAGAGAAAAAACGAAAACCTGGCAGACATAATTATATAATGTACATTTTGTCAAAGCAGAGATGTAGATGTTATCTATGTCTCTGGTCAAAGTGTGCGTTACAAAAAATAAATTCATTCTAAACTATCCCTTTTCTTCATATGAAAGAACATGACTGTCAATTTGTTGATATGGAATGATAATTTTGTAGAAATTTGCAGTTTACAGGCTAAGATTTTGATACACCTTTGATGAAATAACTGCTTTTAAACACTACGCATTGGTTTTGATTGATTAACTGCTAACTTGACATCAACTTCAAGACTAATCTAGTTAGAAGTTACACTAAATCATTATTGTAAATAACATCAACCTTTATTTACCTTCGGGATGTATCAACAATTGATATATATATAATACCCCTCTTCCTTCTTTAATGCCACCACCACCCTTAAATATATGTCAACTTCCATTTTGGTGTTCCTAAAGGGTGCCCTGTGCCACAAAATTTTATATTTAGTTGCTGGGTTTCATTACGTTTGGCCTCCGTTTGCAATCATGTTTTCTCATATTTTTAAACAAAATTCCAAAAGGCATGTTTTTATAAGTTTTTATATTAGACATTACAAAGTCAACAGCCCTTTATGTGAAGACTCCGCATTTCCGTGCTATTATCAGATCAAGAAAAACAATAGACGAACGTGCTAGATAATTTGCTATATCTTAACACTGTTTTTCTTCTGAGGGCCTCAAATGTTTGTAAGATTCAAGATACGTTACCATGCACGTGTAAGGTTTAGAACGAATGGCACAGACATTGACAATAATATAAGTACACCTTGCTGCCCATAAAACATCAGATACCTAGGGTATTTCTCTCTTAATTCT